CAAAAACGCATAAGTTACTTAACAATTATCAATCTTTATTGATCATTTAATAATAGAAAGAAATACCTTAAATAATTTAGAATGAAAAATAACTTTCATGTGATATTTCAAAGAGTAATCCAAATACAGCAAGAGAATTATAAGGAAAGGTTCGTAAAACGACAAGAAATTAACAAATAATCGATAAGCAGCAACTTTCATAATAATTTAGCAATTAAAAAAAATAAAAAGGAATGCAAAATAGTGATTCTTAATAGAAACTTTTTATAGAGAATATACCTAAAATGGGAAGATCTTTAGTGAAAGATGATTAATAACGAAATTATAATATAATAACAGGAGTTTGAATGGAATGTTAAATATATGTTATTATTATTTTTTTACATTTCATAATGTGATTGTTTTTCCATCTGTAATAATACCCCAACCAATCAATCTAAATTTATTATTTAATCTTCTACTGAATGCAACTTTCTCTTACAAACCAGTACATACTGGGTTATTGAGAGCAACTCTCATAATTTTCTAAGATAGATTAAGAATATTTTTACATCATCCTTAACCATCATAACTCTACCTGGTGTTTCATTGGATAATACATTAAATTTCAACATTTCGTCTTATTAAATTTTAGCAATCTTTTAAGTTTTACCATCTTATTATTGTGCACCAACTACAGAGACCATTAAATAATAATTGATCTAAATAAATGATAACTAAAAACACGTACTTCTAATTCTCTATAGAGTTCAGGTAATTATTTAGGAAGTCCTAAAACACATCCTACAAGATTATCATTACGAGTAAGAGATGGATCAATTAATAATCCAACTCCAATAAGACCACCTGGAACAGCATATATTAATTCATTTTATTCAGCATAGAGTGAAACAACTCTAGTGGTAATTGGATGCCAGGTTGTTTGATTTCCATTTTTTGATTATCTTCCAGGTCTAATTTCAACTTCATCTCCAACTGAAAGTATTCCCTATAGAATTGAACCTCCAACTACGCCTCCTTATAGATTTTCAGGTTTTTCACCAGGTTTGTTCACATCAAAAGATCTATTAAAATAATTAATGATTTATATAGATTACCTAATAATAATCATTTTTGGTGGTACTTGTAATTATCTATCAGGAATGGGGAAAAAGTTGCATATTTATTATAAAACACAATCAATATTGTATTCCAATTATGCAGAAACTGGTATAATTGGAGAATCTTCAGCAATTGTTCCTTTGATAAACTTTGTAATTTCTTCATAATTTCTTAGAGCAGCCTTGCTTCATTATTAATTAAATTACTTGTTGATCTCTAAAGATAATATCAACTTTATTTTAAATGACAATGACATATTTTAATTTAGTGATGACTAAAGCAACTAAATGTTCTTATGTTTATGGTTAAGGACAAGGCATATTTGCAGCTACAATAAGTAATGCACAATCCATAACAGCAGCACCTGTTAACATTGTAGACATTAATATATCATGTCCTGGACAATCCACAAAAGATATGTGTCTTACTAGATTCATCACTTCTTTGCATAAACCACATTAAGCATTATCTTATTTCTTGCTTGAAAAGGATTGATAACATTAAGGCTCAGGACATTTTGGACATTTAAAAATTTTAGCATTTGCATAACCTAATCTAATTGTAATGTTTCTGACTCTCTCTTATCTAAAACGCACTGTACTTTTAAGTATTACCATATCAAATACTTTATTGTTGTTATAGATCTCACTAATGTTGATTTTCCATGAGCAACATGTCCTATTGTACCAACATTAATTGTAGCTTATCTACTTATTACTTCTTGTGAATTTGGAGTTAGATTTGCTATTTGATCATAAGTTTATTTCACAAGATGTGGTTAGCATTTCATCAATTTGTCAACTTCATTTTCTGTTAAACGTTGTGGTCCTCTTTAAAAAGTTTCCATGAATTAATTCTTTAATATTAAAATTAAAATTATTTATACAATATATTAATCATTATTTCAATTTCAACTTTTCTTTATATTTTTCTACCTAATCTTTTCAATCTTTATTATTGTTATCTCTATTCGGTGTACAATATTTTCTTAATAAGATTCATAATCCTTCACTCTAGTTTTAACCATTTTTTATGACTAAATATCTAGTCTGAAATAAACTTCGAAATCAGCTTTGTTTATCAAATTTTAAATAGAAATAATTTTTAATTTAATTTTTGAAGTAAAAATGTTTTCATAAGCTTTCAGAAGAGGTCAATAACCATAATAATAGTAGCCATAACCATTAGGAATATCTTTTCATAAGTAAGAAACTAAAGTTATTTAGTTAATTGTAAGCCCAACAAACAAAATCCTTTTCTTAAACCTAATATGAAAAGGAGAATATTAGCTAATTTCTTGGTTCAACTAAAAGATAAAATTTAAATGAATCCTTCTATTAAGAATAGTAAGTACCCCAAATATCGGAAGTTTATAGGATCTTAGAATAACTACAATAAATGATGATAGTAAAATTTAATGACTTTTAAAATGTAATTAATGAACAAGAAAAAGCCATTAAACCATTAATTGATTAAAATACTTAATTAAATAACTAATTAACTAATGTACTTTAGTAAAGTGAGAAAATACTTTCCTAACTCACAGCTAATCTGGAGAAGAGTGATTAGATAAATAAAAGGAATCAAAAGAGGAAAAGCAATGAGGGATAAGAGAGTGATTTTGGAGCAGTTTAATAACTATTGAAGACATTAGATGATAGATTGAATAATTTATCAAATGAAGTAGAGATGATAGCTGAAACTAACAATAGATTTTAAGTTCATGTGATGGAAATTGTGAATATAGATAAACTAGAACATCGTGAAAATATGTAGAGAGTGTTACAAGAGATGGATAAAGCTAAAAGATCCTTATCTAAGAAAATAAAACGTTGAATTGAATTATATATGTGCATTATTATAAAAGAGATTTGTANTTGCATAACCTAATCTAATTGTAATGTTTCTGACTCTCTCTTATCTAAAACGCACTGTACTTTTAAGTATTACCATATCAAATACTTTATTGTTGTTATAGATCTCACTAATGTTGATTTTCCATGAGCAACATGTCCTATTGTACCAACATTAATTGTAGCTTATCTACTTATTACTTCTTGTGAATTTGGAGTTAGATTTGCTATTTGATCATAAGTTTATTTCACAAGATGTGGTTAGCATTTCATCAATTTGTCAACTTCATTTTCTGTTAAACGTTGTGGTCCTCTTTAAAAAGTTTCCATGAATTAATTCTTTAATATTAAAATTAAAATTATTTATACAATATATTAATCATTATTTCAATTTCAACTTTTCTTTATATTTTTCTACCTAATCTTTTCAATCTTTATTATTGTTATCTCTATTCGGTGTACAATATTTTCTTAATAAGATTCATAATCCTTCACTCTAGTTTTAACCATTTTTTATGACTAAATATCTAGTCTGAAATAAACTTCGAAATCAGCTTTGTTTATCAAATTTTAAATAGAAATAATTTTTAATTTAATTTTTGAAGTAAAAATGTTTTCATAAGCTTTCAGAAGAGGTCAATAACCATAATAATAGTAGCCATAACCATTAGGAATATCTTTTCATAAGTAAGAAACTAAAGTTATTTAGTTAATTGTAAGCCCAACAAACAAAATCCTTTTCTTAAACCTAATATGAAAAGGAGAATATTAGCTAATTTCTTGGTTCAACTAAAAGATAAAATTTAAATGAATCCTTCTATTAAGAATAGTAAGTACCCCAAATATCGGAAGTTTATAGGATCTTAGAATAACTACAATAAATGATGATAGTAAAATTTAATGACTTTTAAAATGTAATTAATGAACAAGAAAAAGCCATTAAACCATTAATTGATTAAAATACTTAATTAAATAACTAATTAACTAATGTACTTTAGTAAAGTGAGAAAATACTTTCCTAACTCACAGCTAATCTGGAGAAGAGTGATTAGATAAATAAAAGGAATCAAAAGAGGAAAAGCAATGAGGGATAAGAGAGTGATTTTGGAGCAGTTTAATAACTATTGAAGACATTAGATGATAGATTGAATAATTTATCAAATGAAGTAGAGATGATAGCTGAAACTAACAATAGATTTTAAGTTCATGTGATGGAAATTGTGAATATAGATAAACTAGAACATCGTGAAAATATGTAGAGAGTGTTACAAGAGATGGATAAAGCTAAAAGATCCTTATCTAAGAAAATAAAACGTTGAATTGAATTATATATGTGCATTATTATAAAAGAGATTTGTACTAAGTAGAATTAATTCGAAATTTATAAATGCCAGATTGTTAGATTAAATTATTAGAGAGATGGAACATAAAAAGTAATCTTGTTTTGAAACTTTGAAGTAATAAGAAATGTAGATAAATATAATTAATGGTTCGAAAATAAGAAAGTTTTTTTTTAAAAATAGAAATGGTAGTATTTTAGAATAAATTAGTAAAAATTAGAGTGAGAAAATAAAGAGAATGAGATTTAAGAACTTGGATTAATTGAGAAAAGTGTGAGATTAATAAGTTGTTTATGAATTAATATATATTAAATGTTTGAAGGTCTTATTTAGAAAGTATTGTTAGCAATATTTGGACGATTTATAGATGGACTTGACAAGAAACAAATAAATTTGTCTTTTTTGAAAGGCAATTTGGTTATTGAAAATGTTTCAATAAAGAAAGAGGCTCTTGAAGCTTTACAATTGCCAATTGAATTAGTCTATAGTTCAATACAGAGAATTGAAATAAACCTTCCTTGGAACAAATTGACCACATAGAGAACTGAAATAAAAATTCACAGTGTTTTTTTATTGGTCACAACTGTTTCTGAGGATATGTGGGGATTGGAAGAGATTAATTCTTATAAGCCAAAAGCAGCTCAAGTAAGAGCTTACATAAAGAAAGTTATGGATGAAGAAATCAGAAAGTAAGAGACTACAACAGATAATCAGGAGCGTGATTAAAAAGAGGCAGGTTTTTTTTAAAAATAAATAACAAGAATAGTTGATAATCTTTATATTTCAATATCTGATGTGCATTTTCGTTATGAACATTGTATTAGTAAACATTCATTTTCATGGGGCATTACTATTAATCATATAACATAATAGACAGTAGATTCTGAATGGAAAATTTCATAGACATCAAATCCCTATATTCATGAACGTAAAGATTTGTCTTTTGTGAATAAATAAATATAATTATCTAAATTAGCTATGTATTGGAATTCAGATGATCATTATTTAATTTTAAGTAACATTATCAAAACATAGCAGGATAAAATTTATGAAGTTTAAAAAGTCATTAAAAAAATAGATCCTGATAAAATTGATTTAGATCTTAAATAAAGAACAGTTTATTAAATTGATGAAAAAATGTAAGCTAGAATTCAATCCAGATTATAATAAGAATTAGTATATGAACCCGATAATTTGACTATGGGAATCAAAACCTCTAAATCTTCTAAATATATATTCTGTCTTAATGCAGTAGCTAATGTTGTTTAAACTTATTAGCATTTTAGAAAAGTTCCTGAATACAAAATTAAAGTTGAATTACAGGAAATGGATTTCAAAATTAAACATACTTAATATAAAGAAATCTTAAAACTTGTATCTATCTTCAATCTCTATCAATACAGTGTAAAATAAAAAATGGATTAGTATCTTACTACTATTATGAGACCTTAACCATAAGATTTTTTAAAAATGGAAAATAATTCTCTCTATCTCAGATCTTTATTTTAATATCTTGTTAAGGCATAAATTCTTGAAATTAGAAGGAAAAGATTTCTTGAATTTGAAATGAATGCACTCTAAAGAAAAACAACACCTTCAGCTTTGTTAAAATCTTAATAAAGAGAATTAAGATAGTACTAATAAATTGTGATAAAGACTTCAATATCAACATTATAAATGTGGGCCAAATAAGCTTTAGAGATATATGAGAGAGCGAAAGAACACCATTAAATTGAACAAGCATTTAAAAAAGAGATTGAAAAAGCTTATAAACCATCAGCTTTTATGGATGAAGAAACATATGTTTATTTAGAGTTTAGATTGTCAATAGTTAAAGGTAGTTTAAAATTGCTAAGAAAACATAAGAATTTGGAAGAAGGCTTCACATTATTATGGAAGAATTTTGATTTCAATTTATAAAAACGAAGAAATAATTTTGAATTGGAATAAATTATTTAAGATATGGAAGTTTAAATGTTCAGTGTTGAAGAAAAGAATGATATCATTGTACCAATAGTAAAGAAAATAAAAAGTTATGATATTTAAGAGAAACCACTAATTTATTTCAAATTAGAAAAACATCCTTTATCTAGACCCAATTATTTTACAAGTATTTACTTGGATGTTTAAAAGATTGAATTTATGGTATTTGTGGCATCTTTGCAAAGAGTAATAGCATATTTTAGAATGCCTCCTTAAGATGATAGATAGTAAGAAGGTAAGGTGAAAGAGAATATAAATAAAAATAAGAAAGAGTAGAAAGAGAAAAAAGAAGATCCTGATTCAGAAAAGAAAATAGAAACGTAAACAAAAAATTACATAAATATTACAATTTAATCACCAATTGTTATCATTCCAAATTAACAGATAAATGATTTATATTCAGATTGTTGGGTATTAAAGTTAGGAGATTTAGAAATAATTACTGTAGATGATAGACAAGTTCCAGGTTTTATTAAATTGGGTTCTGATCATTACAAAAGATTAGGTGTAAGTGGAGAAAGTGTAGGAAAATCAAGAATTGTAGAATAACCTTTATTAACAGTTCACAATGAGAAAAATTAATTAGTTAGTTAATTTAATTTTGCAAATGTTAATTCAATTAATCCTTTAGAGAAATCAACTTCATTATAGTAATTGTAATAACCATAATAATTTAATTAATAGTAAATACATCATAAAAAACATCATAAATCTTAGAATTATGATAATTATGTGATGAAATTAAAATCAGTTTAATTATAATATTTTTCATCAATTCATTACTTTTATAATTATTAAAAATTGAGTTAAACTTAAAGAGGATAGGAAATATTGAATAACACTTTGAGGATGAGATCAAAAAAATATGATGTATTAGAAGATTTTTCAATGGAGTTAAATTTATATTTTAAAAAAAGTTCATAAGCAAATCTTCCTCAAACTAAGATAAACTTTGAATTGCCATCTTTGACAGCTTCAATAAATCCAGAGGTACCATATACATTTTAAAAATTAATGTAAACCATAAATGATTTAAGTGCCGATCAATCTTTGAGTAGTATATTACAATAAGAGAAATCTAAATTAATAAAATATAGTTCATGTAAAGGAATTCTAAGAAAAAGAGGCAAATTTCTTAGATCTTGGTCTTCTTATTATGCTGTATTATCTGGATGGTATATATACTTATATCAGAATGAGAGTGATATAGATTATAATCAATATGTTGGATTAAGAGATGTAGTTGTTTCTGAAGCATAATAAGATATTGGAGTATTAAATTCATTCAAGATTAAATCCAAAAAAGAAATTATGTATTTCTAAGCAAAAACTCTATAAGAAAAGAATAGATGGTTTAAATTTATCTAATAGAAAATTCATGATATTAAAACAAAAACAACTAATCTTAAAATTGTATAAGATAATACAGTACCTTAATAAAATGATAAGGGAAAAAAAGACTTTGAATAAACTGTCAAACAAATGCCTAAATAAAATAATGAATTGTTAACTAAATATAGATTTCAAATTAAAAGGTTTTAAATAGAATTAAAATATAATTAATAATCAGAAATCTTAATAACTTTTGATTAAATCAAATTATTGAGTCTTTCAGGAACGAATGATAATTATTAAGAATTTACTATTAATTCAATATCAATTGAAGATCATGGATAATCTATACTAAGATCAATTCATTACTCTTAACCTAATACTCCAAATATACTTAAAGTCAGACCAAGTGTAATAGAAAATAAACTATTAAGAAAAATTAAATAAGTTACAGATTTTAAAGAAGAAGAAGCATAATAAATTCATGGAGCTATTAGAGTAAGAATGTGTAATACAGATTCTCATTAACCTAATTAACCTTAATCTTATATTGTTGCTTAACTTTCATCCTTAGAAGCTCATTATTTAGAATCTTTTCTTACTAAAATTAATTTATTTATGGTTAAACCTTCATTGTAAAAGAGCAAAGATAGCACTACAGATTTAACTGATTTTGCAGATAATACATAATAAACAATAAATATGAAGTATACACAAATTCCTGTTAGTGAAACCAAATTTATGTAAACTAGATAAGATTTTACAAGGGCTAATATTAAAAGTGTTAGATCATTTACATTATAGAAATCTTCTGTCTCTGATTCAGATTAACATGATGTATAATAAGGTGAAAGCAATGAAAAATTACCAGAGAGTATCTATAAGGTCTCTATTTTAACTTAAGATATTAAATTGATTGTAATTATCTTAGAAAAAGAAAAAGATAAAGAAAAACCAAATGAATTTCTATAAATTCAAGTTAATTAAATTAGTGCAGTATTAACCATTAATGATGATGAATATTTTATAGAAGGACATATTTAAAAAATTGAAATTATTGATCTTAAGTCAATATAAGGAAATAGACATATGTTTTTAGGTTAAAAAAAATAAAAAGAAAGAAATAAAACAAAAGAAGAAAAAAACAAAAAAAATATTGGAATCCCTGGTTTAACTATATTTTCAAATAAGTAATAAATTGAAAAATAAATGGTTTAATTTAAATATTCTAAATTTAAAATTCCATCTAATAATGATGATGTTTCAGATGATCTTCATTTAATTGTAAGAGATTGTTTTATAGATTATTTACATGCAACTATTATTAAAGTTTTAAGTTTATTTGAAATTTCCTAGAAGAAAAAATAGGCGAGTAAGGAGGAGAATGAATAAGATTTAGAACTTATCACATAAAAGCTAAAATCACCTTCATTTTTTAAAATTAAAATCTTACTTGAGAATCCCAAGATACTTATAAAACCAGCAGGAAACATAAATGAATCATTTGAACTTCAAATAAAAACAGTGAGTTTTGAGTTGGATGCAAGTAAGGAAATGAATAAATTTAATGAAACTTCTATTAGAGCTAATAAGAAATAGATTCAAGCAGTTTAAAAATTGGATTGTTTGTGGTGGTAAATAATTGTAGTATCTGCAGACACAATGAGAATATAGATAAAAAGTACAGCAGATTTATAATATATTTCAAACCCTTTTTCTGGTGTTTTAAGGATTTAGACACCGATGTTAGTGAGTGAATATGAGAATTTATTTCCTAATATAGTGCTTAATAGAACGTAGGAAATAAGAATAAAAATTACAGATATTCAACTTAATATTTTGAGAAAACACTATTTATTTTTATTAAAGGTTATGTAAACTTAATATGAAATTTAAAGTTAAAAGACTTAGAGGAAAAAAAGGTAGCAGTAATAAGGAAAAAAGTAATAGAATTAAGTTGCATTGATTTTCAAACTTTCAAAGATTACAATAAGATTAATGGATGAATGCAATTTATATCCTTCATTAGGATAATTTTCAAGACCTTTAGTTGATTTAAGTTTATTAGACATAGTATTTCAATTTAAAACAAATTTTTATTTGTAGGTTTAAGATTTAAAAAGTACATACTATTAATATCCTCAATCTGATGATAATAATTTAATAGTGAAAATATAAAATGTAATAAATAAAATAGTTATGGAAAGGAAAAAGTTAGAAGAATTTTTGGATGAAGATAATTTGGAAGAGAAAGTGAAAGAAGTTAAAGAGTTGATTAATGAAATGAAAATGGAATTTTATAATGAATAACCTGTTAGTAGATCTGATACAGATGATAAATTAAATGATAAATTAAATATAACAGTAATTTTAGGAGAAGAATCTACAGATGTTAAAATAAATATTGGGGAATCTAAATATTTAATAAATGCTTATTATTTAAAAACAATTGCATTATTTTTTGAGCCATCAAAATTTGATGAAGATATTAATAGTTAATAATCTCCACCATCATAATTGACAGTTTAAACACCATCATATAAATAAAAATAGCCTTTATTAAATGTGAATATTAAATTACTAAAGACTTTAATTATAACACACAATGAATCATTAAAGAATTGTTTGGTTTTATAATTAGATTCTCTTATAAAATTGAATGATGAATTGAATAAGGATGCTCATCATAAATATCATGAAAAGAATAATGAATAATATTCAAATTAAGGAAATATAAAGAATAGAAAATTAGAATTGAGTTTAACAGTTTCATTTTTTAATACAAATTTTGCAGCTTTATAAAAAATATCAAAGTAAACAAAGAAAAAGATGATATTATATCCAATTAAAATTGAATTTATTCGAAATAAATTTACTTGTGAATGCGATATAAATTATTCAAATTATAAGACAGATGGTTAAAATGAATAAATATAAAATATTATTGTATAGGACTTATTAAAATTTGATAAGATTAGAATAAATATATCTCATAATGACTATGCTTTAATTTTTCAAACAATAAAATTTTAATAAGATTAGATTAAATTATGTGAATAGTTTTTTTAAGATGATTAGGAATCTTCAGTGAATGAATCAATAACTCGTTAATTACCTATAAAAGCATCTTTAGTAGCAGAATAAACAATTTTAAGTCGATATGATACTAAAAGGAAAAGTTATTTACCAGGGAAATCCTAATTGAGTAGATTAAAATCAAGTATTCTCTAAGGATCGTAATTGAAAGATGAAGTAGTCTAAGTATTTTATGCAGCAGGAGATTAAGATATGGAAATAGTAAAAGAAGAAGAGATTTAATCAGAATAAGAATTCTAATAGGAAACAGTAAAGCCATCAGTTACAATAAGTTAGATGAAATTAGAACTAGATCTTTTAGAGATTGTGTTAGTAAATGATATAAATAAATCATTTGCACCATTATTATTATTTAGATTTAATATTCAGAAATTTTTATTAGATCAAAATTATATAAGTAAAGCTCTTTAATGTAAATTTTAAATTGAATTAATGTATTTTAATCCAGTAGTTAGTAAAATGGAGCCTATCATAGAATCATACTCATCAAAATTATTAGTTGTATAATAAAAGCAATATATGTAAACTATTCATATTAATGGTAATAAAAAACAAATTTTAGATATGAATTTATCTACTGATATGATACTTAATCTATATAAAACATTAACTTAATGGCAATAACTTGATTAAGATGATGAAGAGGAAACATTTAGAAGAAATGAATCCAAAAAAATTACTAGATTAGCAAGTATGAAGGGAATCTCATTTAAAGAAAATTAGGATAATGTGACTCTCTTCTCTCTTTATAATAAAAGTGGTTATCCTTTAAAAGTATAAAAGAATGGTAGTGATATTGTAGTAGAGATAGCCAATAATGATTCTAAAAATTATGAAGTACAATCACATGATGAAGATTATGCTAAGACTTTTGAAAGTGATACAAGACTTATGATAAAATTTTTAGATGTTTAAATGACTTAAAATTCAATAAGCAATGTACCTATCAATTATGCTGGAGTTAAAAAACTATAATGGGATGATCAATAATAATATTATGTGCTTAGTACTTAAATTGAAAATTTACAAAAAGCTATTACAATCTATTCACCCTATATGTTTGTTAATCAAACTGATTGTGATTTGTCTATTAAATTATCATGTATAAAAATTACAAAAAACTTTATACTCAAACCAGGAGAATAAGCAGCAATGCCATAAGAATTATATAAAGATGATAGCTTTATTGTTATTCATTTTTAAGATACTAAATATACTAAATTAACACAACCTAATGAACCTATTTTTATTAAGAGAATATTTAATGATATTACTATTTAAATACATCATTATCCATGTTATACATTAGCCACTCTTAATACTACACTGGTTTAGAATGTAAAATATATTGAATTTAAACCAGCTTTTATTTTATACAATTTATTACCTATTCCTCTTTAATTTTTGTTTCATTCAAATGAAAATTAAGAAATTCAAAAACTCATTATAAATCATTACAAAAAACCAAATAATGGTATGTAATATGAAAAACAATAATCAGCATTTTCTAGAGGAAATTCATTATCTCATTTATAAAATGATTAACATGAGAATCTTGTAAGATCTGTAACAGTTACAGAATTTAATTATACAACAACAATTAAAGTAGAAGCAGGATTAATAGAATTAGTACCTTAAGGAGAATTATAATTACATTGGTTAAAGAATGGAGATCATTTAGGTATTAATTTACATGTATGTGGATTTGAATTGACTTAATAATAAGATATAACATAAGCTACATAGTATGAATTAAAAGACTCAATAAATAGCCAAAGTTGTCATATTAAAGTAGAAAAGGAATAAGTTAAAAAAACAAAATTAATTTATTTTTCAGTTTAAACGTGTATTATTAACACTACAAATTAAAGATTAAAATATTATACTTTAAAAGATGGGAAACCCTTAATTTTGTCTGGTTAAAATAAAGAACCAAAACCAGATAAAGAAAGCTTTGAAAGTAACTATGATAAAATATAAATTACTGATACAATTAAATATTTAATGATTGGAATGGATGATTGTATCTCTAATGAAGTAAATGTTGGTATTTTAGGTTCTTTAGGCTTATAATTAAAATAAAAACAAGGAGGTATGGTTTCATTAAATGAATATGGTATTCATATTTCTTTAGCAAATAATGTAATTAGAAAAGGAGTTTATACTAAAGTTATTGAAATTATGCCTAGATTTGTTGTAATTAACAATACAGGAGTTTAATTAAATATTTGTTAATCAGGATATGAATCATAACCAAAAAAATTAAATCCAAATGAAAGATATCATTTAATTTGGCCTGATTGCAGATTAGAAAAATCAATTAGAATCTAAAAACATGGTAAATACAATTGGAGTGGAGATTTATTTATAAACGAAATTAGAAGTACAAATTTCTTCTCTTCAGGTACTAATGAAAATAGTTAATAATTGAGTAATCTCTCAATTGAATAATAAAAGAGTAGAATATTTGAAAAATAAGGAATTTATAAGTAATTCAATCTAAAAAAATATGATCCTTAAGAATTTTTATAATATAAAGAATCATTGCCAATATAATCTTCAATACTTTGTTAATCAAGTTAAGATTTCTTTAAAGATTGTATGTTCTTAACAGCTGAAATTACAAAAATCAAAGCAACTAATTTTATTTTATTGGAATAGTAAAATGAGGAAAATCAACTCTACAAATTGGTAAATAAATGTCGTCCTTTTTAAATACATTATGGTTAGGCTTCTTATAATAGTTTTTAAGAATGGATTTTAGATTGTGATTAAACAGTTCCATTTTCATGGGAATAACCAAGTCATTCTTTCAAACTAAGAGTTAAATTTGTTCATAATCAAAAAGTTGAACATGTTGTGATAATAGATTTTTAATAATAAGAAAGTCTTTAGGAGATTAATTTTTCTAATCATTTCATTTGGATTAAGTCTGAATTTTAAGGACAAACTAGAGTAATTACATTTTAATAAGCAATCGAAACCATGAGGAATACGTAAACATCTCATAAAAGAGAAATGGAAGATGTTCAAAAATTAATTAAATTATACATATCTAAGTTGGGTATTTCCATAATCACAAAAAGATAAAACATGCTATTAGAAGCAAACTATATATTTGTAAGTGGAATAGAATTAGGAATCATGAAGACTGAAAATGAAACTACAGCATAATTGAGAGTTAAGTTTTTCAATATTGATAACAATACATCCTTGGATACAACTACTCCTGTCTTAATGACTTTAAGAAGATACTATTAAGTTACTCATGAAAGAAATTATTATTTCTTAGAGGCTAGTTGTTCTTTCGAACATCAGGTCAAAGCCATTTTGTTATATAACTCCATTAAAATATATATTTAACCATTTTAATTGTAATTTGATGAAGAATATATTCAGGTTGTCCTTGAAACAATAAAATAAGTTAAATAATGTCTTTAAAATCAATTTGAATTTGAATATAATGGATCACCACACTCTATAAAATCTTTATGTTTCTAAACTCCTTAATAAAGACATTATTATTTAGAATCAATGTTTTAATAAAATTCATCTAACCCTTGTATTGTATGGAAATCATTAGAGATTAAAAGATCAAAGAAATAAGTATATATAAAAGAATTTGTTCTTTCAAAAATAGATTTGAGATTCTCATTTCATAAAAGATTTAGGACAAGTATTTAATATGATGAAAATGTATTTAATCTTTTTTCTACAGCTATTGGTGCTACAGTCTAAAATTTTAATGAAGCAGAAATTATACTTGATTGTTTTAGATTAAGATCAGTATATGATTCAAAGGAAATAGTTTTATAATCTATTTAAGATCATTATAAGAGTGAAATTATAAGAGCAATTTTAAAAATTATTGGTTCGATTGAAATTATTGGTAATCCAGTTAAATTTGTTTAATAAATTACAAATGGTGTTGTTGATTTTGTAGAAATGCCTATATAAGGTTTAAGACATGGTCCATTAGAATTTGGAGTAGGATTATGTAAAGGAACAGGATCTCTTTTAAAAAATACAGTAGCAGGTGCTTTTTATTCTGTTAATAAAGTGACTGGATCTATAAGTGCTAGTGTTTCACTATTAACAATGGATGATGATTATTTAGAAAAAAGAAGGGTATTTATGTTGAAAAGACCTGATCATGTATTAGATGGATTATCATAAGCAGGCCATTGTCTTTATAATGGTTTTTCAAATGGAATTACAGGTGTAGTTACATAACCATATGAAGAAACTCAAAAGAATGGATTTAAAGGATTTGTTAAGGGTACTCTAAAAGGTTTATCTGGATTAGTTGTTAAACCTATTGCTGGAGTTTTAGATGCTAGTGCTAAAGCAGCAGAAGGTGTTGTTTCTACTGCTACACATTTTGATGATAAACCAAATGATACTAGAATTAGATTCCCAAGAATATTTTATGAAAAATCTAAATATTTTTAAAAATATATTTCTTTAGATGCTCAAGTTGTTAATTTCCTTGTTAGTTTCATGAATGGAAAATTTAAGGATATAGAAATTATTACCTGCTTTTAATTAAAAGAAACTGAAACTTAACTTAATAATATGTAAAGATAAATCTTATCAGCTACTAAATCAATCCATGAGTGTTTTAAATGTACTTCTAAAATACTCATATTATCATATTAATATATTTTAGTTCTTGAAAACATGACACTTGTTTAAGAAATTTTAACTAAAGAAATTGTAGAAATATCTGAACCAATCAATGGATATCTTAGACTCTCTACTGAATTCAAACCTAATATTGAAATTAACATACTCTTAGATCAAATTGAATTGAAAAAAGCGACATCATTACTAGATTACTTACATTAATAAGTTAAAAGTTAATATGATTGATATAAATTTTAATTCTTATAAACTAATTCATTATCAAAGCCATAATTTCATGATAACATAATTAAAAGAAAAAAAACTTTAAGTTGCATCTTTCAATATTTCACATGTTATCACTTCTGGAGTAAACATCTTTATAAAGCCTTTTGTGTCTTCATCATCAATTTAACTTGTTATATATGAAAGAGCTATAATTGCACTGATACCTCCAAGTGAATATTTTTAAGTAATTTCTACATACTATCAAAATTATTACAAAGCATACTCCAATAATAATTGAGAAAATAATGAGGTGTTAAGCTACCTTAAANGTAGCAGGTGCTTTTTATTCTGTTAATAAAGTGACTGGATCTATAAGTGCTAGTGTTTCACTATTAACAATGGATGATGATTATTTAGAAAAAAGAAGGGTATTTATGTTGAAAAGACCTGATCATGTATTAGATGGATTATCATAAGCAGGCCATTGTCTTTATAATGGTTTTTCAAATGGAATTACAGGTGTAGTTACATAACCATATGAAGAAACTCAAAAGAATGGATTTAAAGGATTTGTTAAGGGTACTCTAAAAGGTTTATCTGGATTAGTTGTTAAACCTATTGCTGGAGTTTTAGATGCTAGTGCTAAAGCAGCAGAAGGTGTTGTTTCTACTGCTACACATTTTGATGATAAACCAAATGATACTAGAATTAGATTCCCAAGAATATTTTATGAAAAATCTAAATATTTTTAAAAATATATTTCTTTAGATGCTCAAGTTGTTAATTTCCTTGTTAGTTTCATGAATGGAAAATTTAAGGATATAGAAATTATTACCTGCTTTTAATTAAAAGAAACTGAAACTTAACTTAATAATATGTAAAGATAAATCTTATCAGCTACTAAATCAATCCATGAGTGTTTTAAATGTACTTCTAAAATACTCATATTATCATATTAATATATTTTAGTTCTTGAAAACATGACACTTGTTTAAGAAATTTTAACTAAAGAAATTGTAGAAATATCTGAACCAATCAATGGATATCTTAGACTCTCTACTGAATTCAAACCTAATATTGAAATTAACATACTCTTAGATCAAATTGAATTGAAAAAAGCGACATCATTACTAGATTACTTACATTAATAAGTTAAAAGTTAATATGATTGATATAAATTTTAATTCTTATAAACTAATTCATTATCAAAGCCATAATTTCATGATAACATAATTAAAAGAAAAAAAACTTTAAGTTGCATCTTTCAATATTTCACATGTTATCACTTCTGGAGTAAACATCTTTATAAAGCCTTTTGTGTCTTCATCATCAATTTAACTTGTTATATATGAAAGAGCTATAATTGCACTGATACCTCCAAGTGAATATTTTTAAGTAATTTCTACATACTATCAAAATTATTACAAAGCATACTCCAATAATAATTGAGAAAATAATGAGGTGTTAAGCTACCTTAAATAAATAATTACCTTAATATATAAAATCTGAAATTACAAGCAAATTAAAAATACTAGCCAATTATAAGAATATTTGACCAAATAAAATTTTTTACAAGATAAAAAAATTTATTTTTTCATTTGACCTTCCCTAAAAACAACAACTTACTATTGCCATTATATTAAGAATTAAAAGTTTAAAAAAGGTAAATAAATATTCGCTTTCCAAATTTTGGAGAATGTTTAGAAAAGATGAGTTTAAAAAGATAGCAAAAAAGGAGAAAAAATTAATCCAATATATTAACAGAGCCCATTATAAGCAAGGTTTTTTTGTACTCAGGTTTGGGATCATTTTTTTTATTGCTTTCATTCTAGAAAGGATTGACTTGATCTTCTGCTCTCCATATTTCTTGAAATCCGTTCTCTCGACATGATAAAGGAATGTCTGATCGACATGGTACCTCCTTTAAACCCTTAAGATTCAATTTCATATAATAATTTATTTTATTAAATAATTATTCTATAGATTGAAAAAAACAATAAAATAAAAGAGAGAAAACCAAAAATGAATTACATTAACTAATAAATTCTTCCAAGAATAAAATTTATCTAACTTATGAATTTAAATATTGTTTAAATTATTTATTTGGAATGTATATAAAAAAGTGAATATAAAATTAATTAATATTATAGATTATTTTATTTATAAAAAATGAAAATGACATCATTAATAATTGTCACATTATAAATCTATAGTTCATTAGCAGTTCTTGGAATAGATTTGAGTGCAAAACATGATGATTTTGGTTGTTTCAGAATGAATGGATATTAATTTGCAATAACAAGAGCTTACAGAAGTTATGGAGAAGTTGATTTAGATGGATATGAAAATTTAGAGAAAGCAAAAGCAGCAGGATTAATAGGTGATGTCTACTTCTTTCCATGTAAAGGAAGTAATTATATAATTATTAATAAATTTAATTAGAGAAAACAGCAAAAAGTCAAGTATAAGAATTTGTTTAAGTTTTTGGCAATCAATAGACATAAGTATATGGTACAGTTTGGGTTGATGTTGAATCAAATCCTAGCACAAATTGTGGATGGACAAATGATTATGCAAGCAATTGTAATTTCTTATAAGAGATTGTGAATGAATTAAAAGGAAATAGTAGATCTGTAGGAATATATGCTTCATAATATATGTGGACATCAATATTTGGAAGTACATCAGCATGTTCTCATTTTACTTCACTTCCATTATGGTATCCTCATTATGATCATTCACCAAATTTTGATGATTTTCCTAAATATAAATTTGGAGGTTGGACCACTCCAAGTATTAAATAATATTCAGGCACAACAAATATTTGTGGTGTAGGAGTTGATTTAAATTATTATATGTGAAAGAAATAATATATATATATGAATAAATTTTTATCGAATATTGCATGTTTTTAATTAAATACACTGAAACTTTAGATCATGATATTGATGATATTGATACAATTATCAGTTTATATTAGACTCATGAAAGATTGATTACAGAAAATCTAATTAAAATAGTACTTCCTTCTCTTAAAAAAATTGAATTTTTTGAGAAACATAGACCTTAAGAAATTTCTTTGGAAGATTTCATTCGAAAAGCTATTCCATACTTTAGATATGAAGAATATTCTTTTGGAGAAATTCTATACAATATTGGAGATGAAAAATAAAAATTATATATTGTTTTGGAAGGATCTGCAATGGAGTTTATTCCTATTAAAAAATAGAATCTAATTGTTTCATTATGCAACACACCAACAAACTAAAAAAGTAAAAGAGCTGCCCGTTAAATTGAAATTTGGGAACTTGTTATGAGAATCTAATATCATAATCCTCTATATTGGAAAGGCGGTTAAGTATAATTTCAATAGGTAAATCTATGAATCTTTAATCTTAGAATGAAACTTATAAAGTAGGATAATATTTTGGAGACTTATCTAATGAAGAAAATGCAAAGGAATCTGTTATTGCCAGTAGTTAATTATTATGTATTTCAATTAAAAAGGCCGACTATAAATTATTATTTGGAAGGGAATTAGCATAAACTAGAAAAAATTTAGATTTCTTTAAAAATTTATTTCACAATATTAGTGAAAACAAATTGCTGTAATTTATTAATTTTACAAAACTAATAACCTTTGAACCTAAATAACAATTATGGTAAAAAGGAGATGAACCAAAATTTATGATTTTTGTTATTGAAGGTGTTATTGAAACTTATCATTATGAAAATATCAATATTGGTAAATCATTATTAAGAAGATCCAAAATATCAATAAGATCATAATCAACTGGATGTTTAGTTGGAGCTGAAGAAATAATTTCAAAATCTTAAACTCGTGAATATTATTGTTAATGTATAAGTAAAACAGAAGCATTTCTTATCAAACAAGAATAAATTGCTGTTCTTATGTAAAAATTTTCTGAAATTTTTCGATAAATGAATTTGATATTATCTAAAAACATTTAATTAACAACTGAAAGATAGAAAGAGATTTTAAAAAATAATAACTCTAAAACTATTAGAGGATCCTCATTGTAAAACACTTAAACCGATCTCTAAACAACTGATAATTATTAGACAGATAATTATTATTGTCCAAAAAAAAAATTAAGATAAGATTAAGTAAGATCTTCTCTTAAAACAGCTTTAAATCTAAAGGATATTGTTAAAGAAAATTAATCGAAATCTCAAACTAATTTAAATATCATAAATACTATTTATCCCATAGAAAATTAAGATCATTATGAAATTATGTTAAGGTTCTAATCCAATAATACAACTTAGAATCAAAATATTCAAACTTAAAGATCCGGATAATTTTCTAATTATTTAGAAAAAATTAAAAAAAAAATTTATACTAAAAAGTTCAATATTCATAAAAAGTTTATTTTTTCTCCATAAATTTAAGTTTCTAAAATTACTTGTCCTGATTAGAATTTATAACCCATAACTCCATTGCCATTAGACAATGCAATTTTAAGAAAAAAACTTCAATCAAGAGGATTTGAAAGTGGCTCCAACAATAAATCAACAACGACATAAATCTTTAGTGCACGATAATCTTAAATAGATTTTGAACCTCACCAAATTGATGACACCAAAAGTTGTGCTTAATTCTAAAATTTTTTTTAAATCACTAAACCTTTGTTTTTTATAAAATAAAGGGAGAATCGATTGTTATCCTAATAAACAGATAGAAAGTGAAAAAAAAGAAAAAATTCTGATTTTAACAGTATTTTTGATATTTATATATTTAAACTATTTTTTTTAATTACTAAATCAATTATTGTGATTTTGAGATAAACTATAAATAAATGTTCAAAATAACTAATTATTTTGATTCATTTTTTAATATTTTATTTACGCATATATATTAGATTTAATAAATATTAACAAAAATATGAAATTAAATTTATTTCAAATAAGCTTTTTTTATTTAAAGAAATTCTTTAATTAACGAGCTTGAACAAAATTGGTTAAAGTCATCAAAATCAAAGTGCCTGCACTAAAGATAATAATTTTATATGAAATCTTGCTAACATTAGTAAATCTAGTAGCCTATCTTTCTTCTATTTCTTTTTATTCTTGCTAGAATATATATAATATAATAAAATTTACTTCGACTGAATTAATTAATCCATTCAATTTCTTCAAATGTATTTCAATAGGTTTTAGATCTTCTTTTTAAGCCACTAAAGAAAAATCTTAGGCATCCATTCCTGTAGCCAATGTAAAATTAAAACTAATTCCAACATTTGCTAAGTTATGTACACAAAATTAATAATTTTCTTAAGTGTTATTTGTTGTAAATGAAAACTTTTGCAATTCTAAACTATGAGCATATTGTAAAATGTTATCAACTTTTTTTTATGGTACCTTTTATTTTATGATTATTCATACATGTATTTTCAATGAATATTAGCTTGAATTTGCCAAAACTGAACCTACAACTAAACTATTTTAACCAATAATTTCTCCGAAACATTTTAACTCTTTTGATCTTAATGGGAATGTAAATTATATGCTTAAAGCTCCATAAATAAGAATGGCAAATAAAGTCAACATTACGTGTAAAAAAATTAATAATAAATCAAATTAGTGATATAAGTTATTTTGCTATTAGTTCATTCTTTTCAATTTCACTAATGACAAAAGGTTTACCATTATCATCTAAAAGTTGCATACCCATTTCAGCATCACATAGTTATTCTCCTTAATATGTACAAAGTAATGTCTTTTATTATTTGCCCAAATAAAGTAACCCTATAAATAATATTATATTTTTACTTCGTTTGATTGCTTAATGCAAAGGAGGGATATTTTCTTATTATTTCTTTTTTGCACTCCCAATTTATGGTGCCTTTACAAAATCTTCATTCAATAATCTATTGATATTAATTAATTGTGAAGATTTAAAAGGGTTTTTAGGTGATTAAATTCTGCTTGATTTTCCTGTTATAAATTCAATACTATCATTTGAATCTAAAATTGAATTCTCATTAAAATCAGCAAAATCATCTAGACTAATTTCAAATTGATGAGGATTTGGCTATTTTTTCAATTTTTTTGAAACACTTTAAGGTCTATTTTTTGTAAAATTCAATCCAGCACTAGTCGAATTTGTGTAAAAACTATTAGATTTTAAATTTTTAGGAGATTATATTTATTGAACATAAGGAGACTTTAAAATTTTATTGTTTTATGATATTTTATAAAGTTCTTATTATTATTTTTAAATAATTAATTAAGACTATTCGATCTCTTTTTAAAGTTCATCATTTTATTTTTAGATTGCTTTTATTTTTTAATCTTTTTCTTAAATTTTTAAAGTATACTATTATTAAATTAATGAAAATTTTTAAACCAAAGATTTATATTATTATTTAATTTGTTAAGAATTCTAATTAAAAGTTTATTAAGTTTAATAACCCTCATTTACCATATCTAACATAGATTCAATCTACTTTTATGCTTATTAATTCACTTAAAGTAAAGAGTTATTAATAGTTGTTCTGATTTTATTAATTTCATCACTTTTATCTGAATTTATTTTAGCAATTAATTAATGAGCTTATTATAATTGAGTTTAGTATTGTTATTACATAATAGTAACTGATTGAGCAATAATTTATTCAGCTCTATTTCGATCAACTTTTTATTCTAATTTATTTTACAAAATTTAGAGTTCTTATTAAAAATGTTGTTCATCTTAATTTAATCGAATAGTAGTATTAGAAAGAAGATTTTTAGATAAATGTTCATTTTATTTAATTTTATTTTCTAAATCTGTTTTCATTTCATCGATTTAAGAGTTTATGTTACTTTATAAATTGATTACTTTCTTATCAATTTCTTACATAAAATATGATGTGTAATCATTAAGTTAAATGTTAAGATCAATACCTTTGATTTGGAGTTAAATTTCTTCTTAAAACTTTTTGAATTCAATTTCAAATTTCTCTTTTAATGTTGTATAATCATTTACTTTTTCTGAAAATTTATTTTGCAATTCAGATACCTATTCTTACAAATCTAGAATAGCTTAATTTTTTTGATTGATTTCATAGATATATTTCTATTACTGTTCTTATTAAGTAGGATTATATTCTATGCTGACTGCTTTTTTATGTTGCATAGGAAAGCTTTCTGTAGGCAAATTTTGAAATTAATTAACAAAAATCTGTTCTGGATTAGGTATTCTTGTAATAGCAGTTGGACTTGAAGCTCTTATATATTAAAATTAAATACCTAGGTTAAGTGGGAAAGTATGCATAAGTCACTGGTTGTGTTTCATGATTTGATGATATGCATCTAATAATTTAACGAGTATCAGGAGCATTTTTAGTAGAATTTGGTCTAGGCATTCTTTGGTCATAAACGATTATTGGGTTTGCAATTGTGCAAACAGGAGGTCTTGAAGGCTTCATTATTAACGAATTAAAAAAATATAAAAAAATAGTACTAAAAATTCAGAAATAATCAGAGTCTATTGTGTAAAATTCAAGAAATATTATTTAAAAAATAATTAAAATTTAAATGAGAAAAGGCAAAAAAACTATTCAAGCAGAGGAAAATGGAATACAATAGATTGTAAATTCATATCAAGAATAAATTTCAAAGATCATATTTTAAAAATTGTCTTAATGTGTTACTGAAGGTTAAAACATATCTTCAAATTAATTTGCAAGAAAATGGTTAACTTAAAATTCAACTCTTCGCACAGATAGAATTTTGGCTGGTTAATGTAGAAACTTGATAGATGGCTTAGAAATAATAAAATACAATATTAATTATTAATTAGCTCATACTTATCTACTTTAGGGGACTGATTGGAATTATAAGATTATGAGTAATAATTTAAATTTATTATTTAGCAAAATTTGCTTAAAATGTTGTATAAAAAAATATAGACGCTATTCTCATATTAGCTTACATGAAAACAATATTATCAGGATATTTTTCTTAAGCAGATTAATCTATGATAACAAAAATCATAAACATTGATCCTCTAGGGCCTCTTTAAAGCTTTTTTTATACAAAAACTGATAAAAATATCACTCTGTTTTGGGAAGTTGGAATTGATAAAATTCCGAAGGTTTCTAATTATAGCAACTATAGTTAAACGGATTTATTAGGTTATGATTATTTACACACAATTACTTTTATTGATATTAGATATGATATTAATATTGATAATAATGCAGGGAGAATAGTTACATCTTATTATTAGGATGTTTAGAATGCTATTCATAGACAAGACTATTAATCAGTAATAACATCTTCCAATCATTATCAGATACTGAAAAATAAGAGTTCTGAATTCTTATTTTCAATAGAAGCTAATGATTTAGGAAGTATGAATAGTGAATTATTATATAGAGAAAAACATAACTAAATTATAAAATGGTTACCAAATACTTTTCCAACTGTTTATTTAACTAAATAAGAATAATAGTCTTTTGTTTATGATGAATAATTATAAAGATGGGTTAATAAAGATTATGAAGTGATACAATAAACTAAGAAAATGAGAGAATATTAAGCAAAGATTAATAAAGATTTATTAAAAAGATATGCTGATTTTTCATCAGCAGCAAAACTTGTTGAATTATTGTAAAGAGTTCCTAATTTTAAAATAAAATTAACTGAAGAAGAAAAAGAAGTTGTTGGATCAGATGGAAATGTAATGGTTATAGGTAGAAGTGGAACAGGAAAGACAACTTGTTCAATTTTAAGATTATTTGCTATGGAAACATTATTTAAATTAAGATTAGAATTATATAAATAAAAACATGAGCATGTTCTTTAAAATTATAAATATGATGATAAAGAAGTAGATAATAATATTGGTTTACATTGTATATTTGCAACTGCAAGTCCTGTATTAACTACAGAAGTAAAAAGATATTATGGAAAATTGACAGCATAAATAAAAGCAGAATTAGAGAAAAAGAAATAAAAAGATAGATTAAAACGATTATAATAAGAATAAGAAGCCTAAAAAGAAAAGATTGAGAATTAATTTAATTAAAGCACTGTTTCAATTGTAGATATTAAATAAGTAGAAGAAAAGTATTTTGAATAATAAATTGGAGGAATTTAATTATAAAAGGAATAAGAAGGATTTTAAGAAGAAGAATTAAATGAGGAAGATTGGGAATAAGAGGAAGAGAAATTGAAATAAGAATTAAATGCATTTCATTCTTTTGCTGATATGAAGGATTCAGATTTTCCAGCTTTTCTTACAATTAAGAAATTAGTATTACTGGTAGATGGATCATTAGCAAAACCATTTTTTTCACGTACTTAAGATAATAAAACCTTAAGTTCAGATACATAAGCTTAATGGAATACTGAAAATACTGGAGTTATTTTTATAAATTAATACAAAAGGGATGAAGAGTAAGATGTTGAATATGATGATGAAGAATATGAAGCATTATTTGATGAAACTGAATTGAATATTGATGATATGGATGAAAATTAACTAGAATAAGAATATTAAAGACAGCTTTACTTAATGAATAAACCTTAATAATAATCTAAAATTGAAAGTAACAATATTAAACTCTCTTAAGAAGTTGATTTTGATTTTTTCTTTAATAATTTTTGGTATAGCAAATTTAATAAATACTAAAAAACAAATTTGAATCCTTCATTTGTTTGGACTTAAATATATTCTCATATTAAAGGAGCTGCAGCATGTCATACCTATCCTGGACATTATATGCCTAAAAGAGTATATTTAAGGTTAAATAAAAATGATAATCTCTTTGATGAAATTTTTGAATGTTATGTTTTATATGAAAAATGGAAGATTTCATAAGGATATTATGATTTTACAGATGTTGTTAACCATATTCTTGTTTAATTAGAATATGGAAAATGCAATCTCTTTCCCATTCATTATTTGATGATTGATGAATGTTAAGACTTACCTCATGCAGTTTTACTCTTATTATGTAAAATAGCAGAATAAGGTTTATTTTTCAGTGGTGATACTGCTTAAAATATTGCAAAAGGAGTTGGATTCAGATTTTAAGATCTCAAATCTCTCTTTAAAAAACCTGAAATTTCTTATAATGCAAAATAAAATGATTTGAAAATTCATCAATTAACAATCAATTTTAGATCACACAATAATATTCTATAATTAGCCAACTCTTTAGTTTCATTATTAGAGATCTTCTTTCCTAATACAATTGATAAATTAAAAAAAGAAAGATCAAACATTTCTGGTCCTAAACCAATAGTATTAAATGGGGACAAACAAGAATTATTTTATTTATTGTCAGGAGAATCAATAGATCAAACACAATAAGTTGGAGAAAGATTATCCATTGAGTTTGGTTGTAATTAAGTTGTTCTAGTTAAGGATTAAGAATCAAAGAAAAATATTCCTTCTATCTTATAACATGCATTAGTACTCACTATTTATGAAGCAAAAGGCTTAGAATTTGATGATGTTATTTTATATAATTTCTTTTAAGATCACTAAATAGGTGATTCATAATGGAAATTACTATAGACTTGTGAGATTTTAGATGAAGAAATTTCTAAGGAAAAATTTAAAGATAGTTGTACATAACACCAAAATTTAGATGATGAAACTACCATATTTTAAGGTTTTGAAGAAAAGAATGGTAATATAATTGTTAAAAAAATCTTTACCTAAAATAAATTTTATGATCAATTAACTTATAATTATGGTGCTTTATGTAATGAAATCAAATAATTATATGTTGCTGTAACAAGACCTAGATAAAGATTAATTATTTATGATGAAAATCCATAACCCAGATAATATGTTTAAAATATTTGGTAAAAACTAAACTTGATTGATCATTTTTCTAGTAATAACATTTAAAATAGAAATGTGGAAAGATTTGCTAAATAAACTTCGAAAGAGGAATGGAAGAAATAAGGTTTAAAAATGTTTAGAAATAAATATTATGAACAAGCTGAAAAATGCTTTGAACAATCTTCAGATGAATTACTATTTATTAAAGCCAAAGCATTCAAATTAGCTACTGAAGGAAATGCCCTTACTTAATAATATTCCTAAATATCATCTAATACAATGAATTAGAAAGAAAAAAAATTGCATTTAGCATAATTAAAATAAATATTAAAAGAGAAGTTTTCAGAATCTGCTTAATTATTCATGAAATTATAGAATTATAAATAAGCTGCTTAATGCTATTATTCAGGCGAAATGTATTAAGAAGCATTAAAAATTTACGTTGATTAGTAAATGTATAATTAGGCTGGAGAAGCAGCATATAAATGTGAATAATATACTGAGTCAGCTGAATATTTCTTAAAATCTCATGATTTTATTAGAGCAGTAGATGCATATGAAAAAGCTGAAGCATATGAAGAAATATTTAATATAATACATTAAATAAGAGATTAAATCCCAGTTGAAACTAGATCTGCTTTTTTGAAAAAGTATTTACCACTTATTTTAAATAAAATGACAAACTAAATTGAATAAATTGAATAAATTCAAGAATAGAAAGTAAATTAAGAAAAGAAACCTTTTGTAATTGAAGAAAGCTCTGATGAAGAAGATGATGAAGAGGAAGAACAATAATAAGAATAAGTTATCAAACCTTAATCATAAAAGATTATGAAAGAATAAGATATTGAAAAATTAAAAGAAGAACCATAACAATCATAATAATAAATATTTAAATAATAAAGTGAAGAACAGTAATAAGAAAAAATTATTGAATTAAGTAGTTAATTAATAAAATCATTGCCTGATTAATCATAACCTTCTATTTTAATTAAATAAGAAAGTATGAATAATAATTCAGAAGATTCTTAATCATTTTCAGTCTAAAATACGGAAAGCTTTTAAGTTGAATAAATCAAAGTTGAAAATAGTAAGATAATTAGTGTAGAATCTGAATCATTTTAAATTTAGAACACAATAAATGAAGATGATTAGGAAGAGCAAAACTTTGATCATTTATCCCACTTTGATCCTGAAGATTAATGGTTGAAAAATGACAATAAATCTATTATTGAATCTATTGCATCTAAAAAGAGTGAACAATCAGATTTTTCTGCATTTTCATATGCTTAAATATAAAGTAATCCTAATGTTTAATTCGTTAAAACTAAGACGGATATTTTTATCTAAGATAAAATAATGTAATAAATTATTAAATACATTTCCATGTTTTCTGACGAATTCAAATATCAATTATATAATTAGAGAAGTAAATCTGCATAACTTAGTAATAAATAGATTAATCAACATGAATTCGATTATATGGTTGATTTCATCTTAGATTTAGATTTAGTAGATATTTCTTTTATTTATTTGGTTTTAGATATTTTGGAATAATTCAAAAATTATAAATTATGTATTTTCGTTTGCAACAGATACAAATTAGCTGATCAATTAGGAAGATATTTAGTATCAATTGCATCAACTTATTCACCTCTTGCTTTACATACAGCAAGTTTGAATGTTTCATATTTAATTAATGGGAAGTAAAGATAGGCTTAAATTGATAAGGGTTTAGTTGGAGCTTTTGCAGTACATAATGTTTTTGAAAACATAAATCCTGAATTCATTTCTTTAAAATTTAATGATACTAAACTTACACCTTAAAACTCATTGGGTATAGAATGCTATTCTTAGTTACTTTTATTAGGATTTTGGAAGAAAACTGTTTATTAAATGGATGTATAAAATTCATTATTAGTTTGTAAATTATTTATGGATTTCAAAAATTGGAGATTCATCTATTACAGTAATTTATATCATTAGATCAACAGAATAGAAATTGAATAAGAAGATAGAGATTTGGCATAGGTTTATCAAACAAAACTAATATTAATTTAAAAGAAACTTGATATATGTTTCTCTACTATGGCTAGAGGAGTTGATATGCTAATATTTGCTTATCCAAAAGATTAACAAGAGATGGAATTTTCAATCATCACTTTAGAACAATATTATAGTGAATTAATTTAATAACTTGTTTTAAATCAAAAGACTCCTTATACCTTATTCTATAGAGCTAATACATTAGATTTTCAAAAGTCAGTTAAAATAGAATTAAATTCTAAATAAAATCTTCCTAAAATGTATTCATTAAGTGAAGAAGTTATTAATTGCTTAATAAATAAAACAGAAGTTCCAAATGAAATTTTGAATAAATTATGTGACATAGTACTTGATTACAAAAATTATGATTAATTGGAAATATATCAATCTGTTTTTCTACTCATATTTTATTGTTAATATGTTGTACATAATTCTGGATTGGTGAAAACCCATTTATGGATCACATAATTAGATGTAAAAATATATGCAAAATTGATAAAGTCTGTTAGATTTATCAAAAAATTGTTGAATACTAATTAAGATTGTCTTTAGAAATTAAAGAAAATTGTTTTTAGAAGTGTATTATTTTATTTCAAAATCAGAGAACCAGATAATGTTGTTTTACTTAAACCATACATTAATTCATTAATAATTAATAGATCTTCTGTAATTATCTAAGGATTAGTTGAAAACAGACATAATCTACAATTGAAGGGGAATAAAATTGTGTTAGACGATTATTATTTTGTAGATATAGATTTTGAGTTTATTAGTGCTCCAAGATCTTTTGTGATATTTTTGATTTCTAAAAAACTAAATAATGAATTAAATAGTATTAGTCATATAAGAAGAGCTACATTTGAGGAATATTATTTTGATCAATTATATCCACAAGAATATGAAGATCATTTTGAGAGTTTGAGTATCTATTATTATAGCAGAAAAAAATGCATATAGGAGATTAATAATAATTAATAATAAATAGAAAATATGAGGTTAACAACTGTTGAAAAGGAATGGTAATAAATTTAATAAGAATAATAGTAAAACTTTAAAATGAAGCATGAATTTAAAGTTTAAAAATTAGATGAAGATATTAATGCTAGATCGTTGTTTAAGAATAACAAAGGTTAACTAGCCTTATAAATTTACTTTTTGAAGAACCCTTATCTCAAATGTATGTCATCAGACTCAAGATATTTTATTATTGAACTTGCTTTAAAAAAGATTAATAAATAATTTAACAATTCATAATCTTTCCATTGTGCAATGGTAAAGTTCATTCATTTGATGAATTATGCTGATAGCAATTATATCACTTATCAATACCTTAATCATAAAGTTGAATAAGGGTAATGTAAAAAATATGAGCCTTATCTTTAATATTTAGAATGCTTGATATGTAAGAAATTTAATATCATTTCTGATGCAAGTGATCTATATTTCTCTTATCTATAAGAAAGATATGACTTAATAACTCCAAATGAATAATATTGTTAATTAACATATTTATTAATAAATAATTTGGTAGGGCTTTTACTAAATAAAAAAAATAATTGTCAAATAAAAATACCAAATAGATACTTTATTTATTTTGATAAAATTACTTAACCTGGAGAATAATTATATTAATATGAGACAGACTTCCATCCTATTTAAAGTTAGGATGGTATTGCTAAAATAATAGAATAATTAGTAGATATTTAAAAAATTTAACCTGAAGTTTATAATTTTAAGATAATGTTGTTAATTTACACATTAGTTTTAAATTTAAATGATATTAAAGTAAATGTAATAAATAAGATTAATTAAATTATCAATGAATTAAATTCTTAAGATGAAGAGAATTAATATGCATAAATTATGAAAGCAGTGAATCTACCTTAAAATGAAAGATTTGATGCCTTAACTATTAATTCAAATGTAATAAAATTATTCTTTGCTAAAGATGTAAGATTGTACTCTTTGAATATTAAAAATAAATTAACAGATTAAACTATTGAGGCAGCATATTAGAGTTGTTTAGATGAATGGTAGAATATTTAATAGAAAAGTTAAGATCTTGAAAATAAAACAAGCAAAATAGTTGCTGCTTTTAAGGAAAAGAGGAAAGGAGAAAAGTTTTTTAAACCTTGTTAATTTGGATTTGGTGAGTATGATTTACCAAGGAAATTGAAAACCTCAAAATATATCGATATAATAAATTAATTTGTAAAAGTAAGGAAAATATTATTATCAACATTCTATTCAATGTTTCTCATAAATTCAATTGATTTTCACTTTATTTCCTAACAATTGAAACATTTAGATGAAAAGGAAAATGAATTTGATTAAATTTGGCATAATTACTTTAGCAGAAAAATGATTAAATCTGATTTTATTAAATAGTATGAAGAATAGTATAAGAGTACTTAAGTAATGATTGAAACATTGTTATAATGGTAAAAAACTAATGTGACATTTGAATAAAATGCTAATAAATTACTTGAGAGAAACAGAAAATTATTAGCATTGAAGTGGATGAATAATAAAGCAGGACTGACTCTTTAAAAGATTTAAAAGAGAAAGAAGGGTTTGAAGAGATAGAAACTTTAAGAATAAAAGAAATTATTTATGAAATTAAGTTGATTTTATAATATTTATATTTTAAAAATAATAAAATAGAAATGACAAACATATGCTAATTAAATTATTTCATTATCTTCTAGATTATTCAAATTAAGGATTTTTTTTTTGATTAATGATTCCAAAGAAGCTTTTGTTCATAGTTTATTTGATGTTGATTTCTCTAGCTTTGACTTCTTCTAAATATTTGACCTGAGGATCAAAGTTTCCAAACTTCCTAAGTTCTGCTCTAATATCTTTAATTTGAGGTTTAGAGAGATCTGAAGTTAAAATAATATCAGATACGTTCTAGAAGCAAAAGTACATCTTTTAAAACGTCATCATTTTATTTTCCATCAAAGGGTTTGATGAATATACCATTTTCTTGATACTAGTACATTCTCTCAGGATCAGAATCAACTACTATAATTCTATTAAGTGGACGATTAAGATATTTCAAATCTCTGATATATCTTCCTTTTTCAAATACCATAGATTCTCTGCCAAAAGCACCAGCAAAAATCTACCTAGTAGGATCCAATTTTTGACAAATTTATTGAGTAAACTATATAAGAATAATTATATATACCATAGTTTCATCATCACTCAATATTACAACCTCATACATTTTAGGTAATTTATCAAGGAATCTTTATAACCCATTTCTTCTTTTGATTTCTCCTCTAATAATTATTAATTTTGGATGTATTACCCAACACCAAAAACGTAATCCATATGCAATAATGTACTAGATATATTAAGTACCAATGTTTTAGGTATTTCATATCCAAATGGTAATTCAGGGATATCTGGTAATAATTTATCGATTGCTGGCTTAGTCATAAACTATAATATTAAATTAAACTATTACATCAACAAATCCTTAATATTGATCTTAACAATATTTTGCAGCATCATTTATTTATTTTTAATAACCTATATCATATTTATTATGTTACCCAATTCATTGGTTGGATCACTTTTATAATTATTAAGGTATAAATTATAACCAAATAAAGCAGATGTTGTCCACCAAAATATTCTTGAAAATAATCGAAAGTATGAAAATGCTTTCTCTCTATTCTCCAATCTTGGATTTGCCTCTTCAGCTTCAAGAGTTCTCTCATCCCATTCATCCTCCTATTTCTCTTTTTGATTTTATTGCTATTAACTAAACCTATATCTTGGGAATCGTAATAGAGTTAATGATCTTATTGAATATTTGCTTAACATCCGTAATTAAAATATAAATTATCAAATAAATATATGTTCAATTTTATAAACCTTATTTGGTATTCTGATAATGCTATAGTTACCATAAAGTAAAATTCATCACCATTATGATCCTCTGAAATAAATATAATTGAATATTCAAAAATCTTAACAGAATTCAACAACTTTCTTAAATCATCTAAATTTGAATCCTCTCCTTATATATGCTACAAATTCAAAAAAATTTCGAACAAAAAAAACTACATTAAATTTCTAATCTTTTTCTTTCTCTATCGATTACTGAACGGTTTCAAAATTCAGATGGAGATTCGAATCACATCGTATTATTTTGCATATAATAAATATTAATCTTATTATTATTGTTTTTAAAGAATAAAATAATTAAGATTAAAATTAAGTGTGAAGATTATAATTATATATTAATAAATTTAATTCTCATTTTTTAATTGGCTTTTTCCCTTATTTTTTAAGTTCTGCTAATTTTTCTGCCTAAAAATTTGGATTACCTGATGCTTCATCTAACATATCTTCTGCAGCACTTGTATCTATGCCTTCAATATTTAATTATTAAATTTGATCAACACACTTTTATAATGTATCAATATCAAAGTTTTAGAGAGCTGTGTTTATTTTTTCTTGAATAATAGCAATTTTCCAATTATTAATAACTTATTTTGCGGCACTCACCAATACTGGATCTAATTAAGAAGGTTCATTAATCAATTTTTCGATATCTTCTGGATTACCTACTTTATCTGATTTGCATAACTATGATTATGAATTTAGAGATTACATCAAACAGCTATTGCTCTTTTTTCATTAATTAAGTTAAATCTTATTTAATTGAATCTCGTTATTAGTAAATATCTGTAAGTTCTTGTTTATATGATGACCTGTAGGATTAAAATTCATTAATAAGAATTTCTTTATTGTCCCTAAAAAATTATTAAGTAATAGATACTTTTATAATAGTTTAATTTCTTCTCTCATTTTAAGATTTCTTTAAATTATTCCAGCAATTTCTTCTTTACCCATTAAAATTCCTTCTACAATTTCTCTTTTTTAAACATCACTTCTTACATTTATTAATCCAGCATGTCTAGCATAATGATCCATAATCCTATCTTATTCTAAATGTTATAAGAATTTTGTAATAGCTTCATTTACATGGTTTTCAGATTTAGGTATTTGCCTTTATTAAGGAATAATTTCAACAGGTGCTTCAACTTTGGATTGTTTACCAGCTTTTTTATCATCTTTTTTGGGACCCTTTTTTTGAGCTGCTTGTTTAGCTTCCTCTTCTCTTTACTTTTTAGTCATTCTTGGTGCATTTACAAGTGCTTATTCTTCAGGTGTTAATTCTTCTTTTAGAGTAAGTAAATATTTAGTTCTAGACTTTTTGGCATTAACAGCTCTTCCTGGTTCTTTATCTTCCCAAGATTTTTTAATAGCTTTTTCTTTGTCTTCTTTAGTTGTATCTCTAACTAGTGCAACAGTATCAGAAGCAAAAATAGTAGTAAACCAATATAAATTATCAGTTTCTTCAGATTTAATTTTGGCATCTGGCCATTCTCTAAGATCGAATGAGGCTTAGATTACATAATTTTCATCTTTAGGTAAAGCAATATTAGAGAGAGTGACTGAATTGATTCCATAATTATAAACAATAAGATCATCTCCATGATATAATTCTAAACGAATAAGTCTTTCTCCTCTCATTTCTGATTCAACAATTTCTTATTCTTAAGCTCCACCTTTAGTTTATTTTCCTTTAGCTACTTATTATTATTATTATTAAGCTTATTGTCCTTCAGTTAATCTAACATAAATGCTAGCATAAGCATCATTTGCAAAGATTCTTTCTCTAAAAATAGTTCCATATTTAGTAGGAATATATTTATCATAATAACGAGTTGGTTCAACATTCTCTAGTAATGTGAATGTGAATTCTGAATTGATTAAGAAATCCAATTCAAAAGTTCCTTCTTATGTGTTATATAATGGAGTTCCTTCCAGGATAAAGTAATAATTAGTTTAACTTCTGAGCATCATTCTTTGTGTACCATTAATGATAGATTCGCTTTCAAATAAATTCTTGTGAACTCCTTCAATAGTAGTAAGCATTAAATTATTATCTGGAGGAGGAATTTCACACAATTTAATTTTAAGAAACTTTAACAATTAATTGTCAGTTGTACTTTTTAATCTATAAACAAATGACCCATTATCTTTATTAGAATTCAAGAAAACTTTAAATCTAAAATAGACATAATATCTATTAGCTTCACATGGTGGATAATCTATTTAGAAGGATTATTTCTAATAATTTTCATAATCAATTAAATAATCAAATACACTTTAGGTAATGATTTTATTATTAGATGCTAACCACATTGTAAAATTGAGTGGAGAATATATATTCATTTTAAATATATGATTTTTATTATCTAATAAGAGCATTTAAGAACTAACACATTAATTAAGTAATTTGTAATCCAAAATAGATTCATAAGTTTCTAAATCAAAACGTTGTAACATAGAATATGGTCTAATCTATTAATTAAGATCTTTGTCTTAAGAATATTTAGGTTGAAATCCATACAGAAAAGTAACTTAGGCATTATCATCAGAATCTGGATCTCTTTAAACAATAATCATTTCAATATTATCATAATTGGCAATATCATTATCTGGATTGCTTTGGATTTATAATACCTATAGATTAAATCGTTTTGGATCATAAGCTATTTGTATATATTCAAAAAGACTAAGGAATTCTCTTTCATGAATCCAAAATCCTCCTTCTCCTCTATTGAATGGTTCTTAAGCATTTGCAACTGATGAGAAATCTTCCAAAGGTTTTACAGTAAAACTATCATCAGTATTTTTAGGATTGGCTGAAACCACAGATTTATCATCTCCTTTTATTTCAGGTATATCATAATTAGGTGGTTTGTTTAATTTATTTATTACACACTTTTTAGCTATATAAATTTCATCAGCTGCTAAAGGACTGAATACTATTACTGGATCTTTACCTTAAGAATCACTCTTTAATCTTAAATATCTATGTTTAACTGGTTGTTAACTAATTAATGAAATTCTTTTTTTATCATCATCTTATAGTTTCTCTTTTATTTCTTTCTTTCTTCTTCTTAATTCTAATTTCTCTTCTTTAGTCATTTTATTCATAGGAGTTTTACATAAATCAAAATATTCTTATCTCAATCTTAATTCTCGATCACTCCTCTTTTATGCATATACCATATTAAATCCAGTCTCATTTTAAAATTATTCCACTATTGAATATGAAAAACAAGTATTCAAATTTGTAACACCTGGAGTCTTCAATGGTTTAGGTATCGAATATGATCGACTTAAACTTTCAAATGAAAATCCTCTCTAAGTCTTTCTAAATCTTTGTATTTTCTCTTCTCCTTCATCCTATTACATTTCTTCTTATTACTCTTCCTATTCATCCTATAACTATTATTAATGTTATGATGGAGAACCATGTTTATTTCGACCAATCTCATAATTTTCAATTTCCTTTTTAGGATTTCTCAATAATTCTAATTGATATTCTTTCTTTGATCTATTGTTTGTATTCAAATTTGATTGATTTTTATAACTATAAGTTGATACATATACGTCCTTTTAAATATAATGATTATTATTCATCATATTATCAATAATACCCCAACTATTAATTGTTCTTAAATCTATAGTCTCAGTCAATAAACCCATTAATGAATACATTACAAATCCATCCCCTACTAAATTACCCTTACTTTAATAATCCCACAATTATAACACTGCTTTACTGATAATCATAGGCCATAATTGATTTTTATCAACACTTTAAGGCAATAAAGCTTTATTATCAAAAGTTGTTGGCATATGATCAGATACTTATATTTTTCTCTCTTTTCCCATAAAATATAACTTCACTATATATTTTCCATTTGGATTATAAATTGGTGCTCCATCCTTTTGAGGGTAAATCTTACTTGAAAGTGATTTCTAATTAAAACAATCTCTTATATCTCTATCTTTTATTTATTATAATTAGGATGCAATCCAACGAGAATTAGGTGGTAATGTATCATTACATATTAAATCGCTTAATCTTACATCAGATGTCATCTTAGGATTTTCATCAAATACTTCCTCTGCTTATTTTTTACCAGCTTTCTTATTCTTTTATTATGCTGCTTATTTTTCCAAAAAGTCTTTTCTTCTCAACTCTACTTCATCTTGTGTCTCCATTCTCTCATAACTCTCACAAATTGTCAAATGATGTTCTGCTTCCTTCTCCATGTAATGTATTTTCTCTACTGTCTCCAATCTCGTTGAATAATAATCATCATTCATATTGTATCTATTTTCTCTCATATCCATGTAAGGTGGTTCATGTTCAGATTCTCTAACATCAAATATATTTTTACTATTGCCATCTTTATCTTAAAAAACTCATTGGTCTTCTCCAAAAAGCAACATATTTGTCAGTTTCAAAATTACACTTTGTTATTTAAGTCTCACCTTATAGAAGATTTAACCCTTAGATAACTTCATCCCCTGGCCATTCTTCTGGATCAGCAAATGCATGATATTCTTAAACAATACCAATATCCTTTACCCTGCATACTCTATTTCGTTATTTGTTCAGGGGCTTTTAAACTCTTTGGATCCCTTGGTGGATTCTTTACACTCTATGGAATCACATCCTTTAATGGTGTCCCTACTTTAAATAGTTGTCGACCCTTCTGATCTTTTGTTGTTTTGGGAGGCATTGAAAAATAAATAAATTAATAATCATATTACTAAATCATGTCCACATACATATTGGCTCTCTGTCTTTGTCTTTATGTATAATTTGTGAAAGCTGTATCAGATAATGTAGAAGTAATCACTTCTTGTTGGCTTATCACTTTGTAAGACAATCAAAAATTCAAGGTATTTTTATCTATCTATACATTTATTCAGACATTTGATCATGTTGTTGATTCTGTATCCAAGCGTTATTAATAAAATGATAAAGAAAAGATTGTCCATGATATAAGAGTATATATGATTAAAAAGTGTTTTGCTACCCTTCCTCTAGCTGATAGCAAATAAGTAAGCACATATATTTAACACGCGTTTTTTAGATAATCAAAGATTTTGAAGCAGGATAATCTTTCCATGTTACCTATAGAGAAGTTGTAAAGGGCTTTGATTACACTCATTATATCAAAGATTTAAAAAACAAGGAACTTATTCCAAACCCACAACTAGATGATATTATTTCGAGCATTGTGAAAAGTCTTGAAACAGAATTTAATAAGGATATCCAAAGTGAAATCTAATCCACTGTTCCTCATCTTGGTGTATTTGGAATGAATTTCAATTACCTGATCATTTTTCCAATTCTTGGAGGAGTTCTTTTGACTTATTTTGTAATTAATGCAATTAAAGCATTAAAAACAACCCCGAAAAAAAAGAAGTGAATTGTAATTAGATATTTTAATATTTAAATCTTTGAAATGAGTAAAAAGAATACAAAGCGTAAATAAAACAACAAGACTGAGAAAGAAGACGATTACAGTGACATCTTTGAGGAATAACTACCTATTATAAAAAAAAAATCAAAAGAGGAACAACGAACTAACCAAATACTGTTTGAGTCAATTCGTAATCCAGAATAGGCAAATCTGATTCGTTGTCCAATAGAATCTATCAATATTGAATAAGTGCATTATATTTATGAATTTTTTAGATTCTTTAAGATATTTTGTATGAGTCTTCAAAAGAGTCTCAATATTCAAAAACACTTAAGCAAATTCTTCTAATGGGACAGAGAGATTTGAAAGACAAACAAAAATATTACTAATTTAAATGGCAATCATTAGGACACTCAAATATTAATCGTTAAGAATACCAAAGATAAGAACAAATGCTAAAAGAATAATAATCTAAAGATATTGCTGAAATTTAAAATAATGTTATTGCTGAATTAGGAAGAAAGCGAGTAAAAGGATTTCAATAAAGAGAAGACATTCTTGATGAGTTTCGAATTAATTTTATGAAAAAAAGACATCTAACTCCAGATGGACCTGTTATGGAGGAATTCTAATTTTATGTTGATCCTGAAGAAGCAAATCGTCTTAAAAGAGATTAAATTTAATTATTAGAGAAACTTATGGAAGAATCACATCTTATACCTGAAAATCATCCTTTAGAATTGAAAAGGTATTTTAGTCAACCAGATAATACAGGACATTAAACACGTTATTTGTAAAGAACTTCAAGTAATTATATTTAAAGGTATTATATATAAATTATCTTAGTAATAATGAATAAAATTAGAGTGATGTTTAAAAATTATAAATATTCCCTAAATTGTAAATTGATAAAATTATCAAAGAGAAAATGGAAAATATGACACCAAAGAAAATTGAAGTAAGTGTTTCTAAAATAACCCAAGCTTGAAGGAACTGCTCAAACTTGATGAGTAAGATATTCAAGTAATTCCAAGAAATGTAAGAGTTATGCTTTTGGATTCAAAATCTGATGAATTGTACACAGACAAAGATTTCTAATTAGATTAAGCTGAAAGATACATAGAAGTATTTAATTAATTGAAAGTATTATGTCTTGTAAATAAAGAACCAAAATTTTTATGAATTAGATCTAGAAAAGATGTTAGAACTTACAATTTATATTGTAAATAATACTCATTATCAATAAAAATTTAAGTTATCTGAAGATAGAAAATAAGTCACTCCAAGAGAATTATTGAATTATATTGAAAAATTATATAGATAATGAAAATTAAATATAATTTTTGCCAAATAAAACTCAAATAATTCTATAATAATTAACATTTCCGGTATAGTCTAGTGGTTAGGATATCAGGTTTTCACCCTGGGGACCCGGGTTCAATCCCCGGTATCGGAAAAATTTTTATTTATTTTTTCTATCATGTATTACTTAAAATCAAATTAATAAAATTAAATTAAATGATTCCAACAAGTATTGTAGTATGTGGAGGTGGAAATGGTTCTCATGCAACAGTAGCATCAGCAGGTCGTTTTGAAAACATTTAAGTAAATGTCTTTACAAGAAAACCTTAAGATTGGAAATAGGAAATAGTGGGATTGACAAAAGGAAGTCCATGGGAATGGTATATTCTTTTATGATGAATCATTAAGGAAAAATCAATAAAGTCTCAAATAACCCTTAAGATTTTCCTGGAGCTAAATTATGGATTATAGGAGGACCAGCTCATGTTCATCACGAAATATTATAAAAGATAGCTCCTTTTGTGACTAAAGATTCTTTTGTAGTAATAAAATTATAATAATAAAAAAGGGTACATTATTTGCTTAAGGTGGATTTGAATGGATGTGCAGAAGCGTTTTTGGGGATAGAATCAAAACTGATAACATTACTTATTTTGGTTTATATAATATACCATGGCTTTGTAAAATATTTAAATACGGAGAATCTGTAAGAATAATTGGACCAAAAACTAAGCTTTAATGTGCAATCTCAAATCTTAATAGAAAAGAAGAACTCTTTTTATTATTAGAAAATATGTTTCAAATACCTGTTTTATAAGCACCAAACTTTTTAACATTAACCTTAACTCCTAGCAATTAAATTATTCATCCTGCTAGAGTCTATGCTGTATTTAGAGTATTATTAATATATTTATTTTTAGAATTGGGATGGTAAATAAGTTTATCAACCAAATGAAGTACCTACATTTTATGAAGATTTTGATGATTTTAGTGCATATATGCTCCAAATTTTGGATGATGAAATCTAAGCAATCAAAAGGGAAATTCTAAAAAGATATCCTCACTTTAATTTAGATCTAATCATACCAATTAAGGAAAGAATTATTTAATAATATGGAGATCAAGTCAAAGATAAATCTAATTTGAAAACAGTTTTCAGAACTAATGCTGGCTATGCTACTATTTAAATACCTACTAAGCCTGTCTAAGGAGGTGTTTAATTAAATACAGAAGCCAGAATTTTTTGGGAAGATATTCCTTATGGATTATGTATACTCAAAGTAAATTTATTATTCTATTCACTTTTAGGATCTTTCAGAAATGCTTGGTCTTTAAACACCTGGAACTGATAAAATGATTGAATGGCATCAAAAATTTATGAATAAGGAATATATCCAAAAAAATTCAAAATTGAATAGAACTCTTTTAAAAGAAACAGGAGCTCCTTCTAAATATGGATTAGATACTTTAGAAAAAGTCTTAGGCTTGTAAGAAGTTACCCAATAATTTTCTAAATTGTGAGGTTTATAAATAGTCTAATAATCAACATAATTATTAATAATTATTTGTATCTCTTAAGTAAAAAATGACAAAAAATCATATACAACATTAAGGAACAATTATTATGAAATAATCAATAAAGTTACGAAGTAGAAAAATTTATTTAGCTTTCTTTGGTTTTTCTAATTTTCTAATCTATTTTTCAAGCTTGATCATTTTATTCTTTTTGGACCACTAAGAAATATTATTAAAGAATAATATTATATCGATATTATTTATATAAACATTATTATTATAAATGTTATAGTTTGTATGTTTTTAACAGTAAAACTAAGAAAAATTATACTTTGTTAAAATAGACTTAGAACTTTTTATTATTAGAAATGAGTCATATAGTATCTCTGATGGAATTATTCAGAATATTTTACTTGTAAGAAATTAAATAAAGGATATGCTTATCAAAATTTATCGGTTTTATTAATTAAAATAAATTATTTAAAGAATAAAATAATAATATTTTATATCATATGAAAGGTATACAAAATTAATTAGGGAAACCAACGGAAAATGTCTTATCTGAAAACAAAGCCAAGTTATAACACAAATCATTCCATGGTGAACATGAATAAATTCTATTTAATCTTACATCTTCTATAACAGGAAAATTCATAATTGTAGAAGCATAAAGATCGGTTAAAGTTTTAGATCAGTTAATTTAAGATATAGAATTTTGCCTTTATTTAGATGCTGAATTTATTGCTCGTTTTTAAGTAGGAAAATATTCAAAAGATTAAAAGCTTTAAATCACAGAAGAAACTATTAAATTATTACAATTATAAGCAGAACTTGAGTAAAAATTTAAAGTTTATGCTAATTTTAATATCATGATTACTTAAGGAGAAGAGTTTGATGAGTCTAAAAAATAAGAATCTGAAAAATTAGAACATTTATTGTAAGAAAATTTCAAGAATTTGTTAAGAAGAATGTAGCGTTGTCCAAAAGATTTCGAAATTCTTAAAGGAATTAAAAGAAATTTAAATATTGAATTAAGTGAGTATTTATATGGGATTAAGTGTCTTAAAATTTTATTCCTGAAAGAACTAAGTATAACATAAGCTGAAAAGAACATTTAAATTTAACAATTTTAAAACATTAAATCAAAAGTATATATATCTATTATGAATTAAGGTAGAAGAACAAGAAAAGGTAAAAAGATAATTAGAATAAGACTTATATAATCTAAAGCAGTAAAATTCTATTAATACTGATGTAATGAAAGCAGAAATTGAAAAATTAAAATAAGCGCTACAAAAACTCAAAAATGAAAAAAAGTAATAAGTGAATTCCCTGTAAGATCAATTAAAATCCCAATATAATATTCTTGAAAAAAGTTAATAAACTAAAATAGATTAATTATAGGCTGAACTTTAAGGTTTGAGATCTAAATTCATTAAATTGAGAGATGAAAATGCTTAAGAGGAAACTAAGCTCAAGAGACTTAATATAATATAAGATTAGGCTTTATAAGAGGGTGTTTAAAATTATGATATTATGATGGAAGAAACTATTTAAAAGTTTAATAACTTATAGAAAGAATGTTAACATATTGAGTAATAATTAAGAGATAGAAAATAATACTTTTTAATAGTTGATGCTCAAAAAAGAAAGGAAAAAGAATTAGAAGAAGAATTTAAAAAAAAAAAAGATGCTCATTATCTTTAGTAATCATAAAAAACAGAGGCAGCAAAACATATTTAGTTATTTTTTAAATCATATTAGAGTATTCTTTAAAATATTATTTAGCTTCTTAAAAAAAACCAATCAAACTAAAATAAGGATGATAACAATAATTTATCTAATTTTAATTTTTTAAAGATATTAAAGATGTTATCATAATAAGCAATATAATCTCATAAATATTGCTAAAATCTCTAAATTGTTATCACCATCATCTCAATAACGAAATCCTAAATTACTTTTCTAATAAAATTTATTCATTTACATAAATTATACTTCTAACATTGGTTTTCAACATCGTTAAATAATATTCATGTAATCCTTCATAGTTTTTTATTTATTTTACTTTTTTGAGCATTTAAAACTCTAGTTTTTTGTTTTTCATTTTATATTCATTCTTTTACTCCCTTAAATAATTTATTTATCGATGTAGATATATAAAATTTTAATAATTCTATTTTTTTTCTTTCATTTTTATGATGATGGGAATTACATAAAGAGTTTAAAAAAATTTTTTTTTGAATAATTCTACTTAAAAATCAGAATAAATAATAAAGCAAAAATGAATATCAATAAGTAATCCATTACAAAAATTTAAAGGAATTATAAAACTTTTTATTAAATCAAAATTATTGTATATCAAATATTAATTTATCTATAACAATAAAATTCTTCTTTGTTGTTGTTAATTGAATTCCATGATTATTAACATATTTTTGTAAACTATTGTTGTGACTCAATTATGTGTAATACTCTCTTTAAAATAGTTTTCTATCTAAAATGCCTCTATTAATAGGGCCAAGTGGTTCACTATCTCTTTTGACATGGCCCCATAAATGTTTATTTTTAATTAAAACATCCTTCACTTTAATAGGATTGAAAATGAGTTCCTTAGGTTCTACCAGTTTATTTAATTCAAACTCCTCTTCACTATCTGTGTCAATTTTGCCTAAACTTTGCTATTGTTTAATTTTGAAATCATAGAGTTTTTTAGCTTATACTCTAATTTAATCTGTATTCGAAAGAGATTCCCCATCCATAAATTTTTAATGAAAAGCCTTAGCTAATTGTGATTCTTGCTAGTAGTAATATACTTTGCCAATTAATTCATAAGCATTTAATTCATATTCATATTCTTTGAAACATAAAGCATACTTTAAAAATTTTTTGCAATAATTTAAAGATCTTCTTAGATCACCTTCAAGAAGGTAAAGTTCTGCCAAAAATTTATATGCTATCATTTTATATTTGAATGACCGATTCCCATTACAAAATATAAGAAATTTTTACCAAACTTATATGGACTGTTGAAATAAATTATTAATTTGTAATATAAAAGCAAAAGCAAAAACTCCAATATTATAAAGATTGCCTATTCTTGTTTATTTTAAATATCTCTTGATTAGTTATGATATTATACTTTAAAATAAATGAGAATCTTTCCTCAATATCAGCAGGATCATTATAATCAATTTGTTAAATTAATTTAACTGCTTATTGTCTTCTATTGATATAGGGAGAATTTTCATCATCTAATAGTTTGAACATTCTCTTTTCATCTTTTAAAAAATCATAATCATCTTGGAAGACCCACGGTTTCTTTTTTTTTTATATAGAAGGTAAACTAATTTGAGAGATGCTTCTTATACTCACCATAGTTGATTCATCATTTTTTTATTAGGTTCTTGAACCTTTAACATTTGGAGAACAACAGTAGATACTAAATTTCATAAAATATATATAACAATAATAATAAAATAAATAGGATAAGAAAATTCTAATAATAATTATAATCATTTGTAACATATTTTTGCTCTAATAAACATTTTAAGTCAGAAATAGAATTTCTAAAGAAAAGAAGAATTATTGAACAAAAAGTAAAAAATATATTTAAAGCAATATATTGAAAATATTAACATTCACTCTTATGAAATTAATCTTCCTTTTTCCCATACTCCTACAATTTCAAATCCATCTGCTTCAATTAAAACTCCTTTTCCATGTTATTTTCCATTATGCCATCCTCCTTTATATGTTTTCCCATCAGCAAATTAAAAAACTCCATATCCTTCCTTTTTATCCTCTTTGTAGTCACCAATATATTTATTTCCATTAGTCCAAATGAATGTACCTTTCCCATACATTTAATTCTTAACCCATTCTCCAGAATAAACTTATCCATCTGGCCATTTATAAATACCAAATCCATCAATAAAATCCTTAAAATAACTACCTTCATAACAATTTCCATTTGACCAAATATATTTTCCTTAACCATGTTTCATTCCACCTTAATATTATCCTGTGTATGTGTCTCCCGAAACCCATTTTTCTGTTCCTTATCCATCTTTTTCATCATCTTTCCATTCTCCTTCATATATATTACCGTCAGTATCAACATTTTTACCAAATCCACATTATAAATCATCAAGCCAATCTCCTTCCTAAATTATTTTATTTATGAATGAATACATAATATGATCCATCACAACGTATCAACCTTCCTTTACCATTTGCTCCATGATTCTACCAATATCCTTCATAATAAGTCCCATCTGGCCAATATTAACGACCTTTCCCTTGTTTTTGTTTATTTCTCCATTATCCTACATATGTGATACCAGTGCTAATGAATTACTAGTTTAGATCAATAGAATAGTTACATGAGGTGGTAAAGAAATGCAATCATTAAATTTTTTATTCATGTCAAGATCATATTAAAAGGGAGGAAGAGACTTTAATATTTTGAGAACATTTGAATTTGTTATATCTGGTTCTTTAACTTATATTGCTATATCTGAATCTGGGGCATCGTTATTTTTAAAAAGATAGCTATCGGTTTCCTACTAAATAAATCGATTTTTTAAGGGTTCAACTTTTGTTAATTCATTTTTACTAAGCATTGATCTATCATTTAAATCAGATCTTGGTGAAGTGAACTAAAATAGTAAGAGCATTTACTCCACTATTTATTTATGGCTTTTATGAATTTTCTTTGATTTGTATCTGGTTTGTTTGTTATTAAACTTATTGTTATTCTGAGGCTCTGCGTTATGTGTTTTAGTGTGATGACACATTTGTGCTTTATGATTAATGAGATTAAATTTGTCGATGTTATTATTATCTCTAAGGATGCGGTTGTTTTTTGAAACATGCTGAACCCATTGAATTTTAATTTATATATTATAATAGCATTTTAACTAAATATCATCTGATATATTGGTTCTCATTTTGTTACATTTTTGATTGATTCATTCTGGATTATTACATTATTGCTAAAAATACTAAACTATTTTTATACATTAGGTTTTGTTTGTCTTATCTAACCTAGTTATTTCTTATGTTTATTGACTCTCTAATTCTTTTCTCACATTTTAATATTTTTATAATAATCTAAAATTAAATCAACAAATACTTTTCTAATTCTTAAGATCTTATTTTTCTTTATTCTTCCTATCCACTTATTATTCTCTATGTAAGTGCATTTAATTCATTTATTTATTTCTATCTCAATTGTGTAATAAGATTTCTTATCTTTTATTATCTACAGGATGTCCATTTTTCATATTCATCTCTCTCTTAAGCTTATATTCTAGATTGAATCACATGAGCCTCCAAATAGCTAAGAGTATATACAATTTTAAATACTTCTCCTATCTAGCCAATTACTCTTCTGTCTTTCTTAAGGATAAAAGCTCGGTTGAATCCTTAGGCTTAAGTGGTAGTGAATTTTCTAATTCCTCTGAAAACTATCTTAATTCATCTTCTTGTCTTTAAAGTGTTTATTCTTTAACTTTCTAAGCTTCACTATCAAATTCAATCATTTTTTAATCCCAAAACTAATTAAATTAATTGAATTCTTCCAAATGAGCTTTCTCAATCTCTTATTTCTCTGAACAATGTCTATCTTTGACATCTACTTTATTTTTTAAATCTAATTCTTTCTTTAATTCTGCCAGCCTCTTTTTAGCTTAGTCTGCTTCCAAATATTTACCAGCTTTCTCACAACTCTTTTGATGATCATATAATATTTATCTAGACATCGTTATACTATTGTTACATATATTCTTCAATATCTCCTTATTGTACAGGAAGATTATTTGTTCCTTTTCTTGATGAAGTGGGTCTTTAAAATTAACTCATTATTGCAGAAAATTAGATTTTTAATATTAACGTTAAAAATTAATTTTTTTTCATTTATATATTTATCATTTCAATATAACATCTTAAATAAAATAAAATTCTATGGAAAAATTCATTTCAGCCTGGAATTATTGTGTTTCAAAATTTAAATCAAATCCTAAAACCTAAGTTGATCCTTAAAAAAGTTCAAAAAATGAATAAATTCATATGAGCATAGATTAAGCATTAGGGTTTAGCAATACTTTATATGAGACTTCCAATAATGTAAATTAAATTCTACGTTAAAGTTTATCAATTAGTTCAGCCCTAACTACTCAGACATTTAATGAGGTCATAATTAAGATAATTTTTTCGAATATTTTGAATTAATTAGCTCTAAAATCTACAAGTTTAGCTTAAGAGAAAATGCCACATCCTAATATTACGCATTTTGATGTTAATGATGTCTCTTTGCAAAAAAAGAAAATTACTCATGTTTATAAATGTTAAAGAGAGAATAAATATATTCTAAAAGATATAGTTGGTATAAAACTAGTCACTCAACACTCTGATACAATTATCTGTTCAAATGACACATGCTTATTAGCATCATTCCATGAAAATGTATCAAGAGTTGATTTAGGCATCTATAAGAAAGGTTAAGCTTAAGCTGTATATGCTGAATGTCTTGAATATATTCCATAAGAGTAAAAATAATTCAGTGATGCTTTATAATCTATAGAGAATCTAAAAAAGGAAAAATATGAACTTTTTAATAATAATTGTTAACATAGTTCTGAAAAATTAATTTCCTCATTAGATTCAAACTTTAATAGAAAAATAAATTTAGAATAATTATGATTTATATAATGTTATTTAATTATATATTTTTAATTAATATAGATTATGTATAAATTTCTTGATTTTATAAATTATTATAATATGTAAGATTAGTAACTATTAATAAAAGTCATTTCAGTTGGAGACACATAAAGTGGTAAATCATGTTTGATAAAACGATTTTGTGAAGGCAGATTCATAAATAAATATGTAACAACAATAGGGGTAGATTATGGTGTAAAGAAAATGATGATTTAAAATAAGAAGGTTGCTGTATGATAGTTTTGCATTCATGTTAGATAAATTTCTTCGATTTATCAGGTGATGAGGATTATAAAGAAATTAGAAATCCTTTTTTTGCTGATGCTTAAGGAGTAGTTTTAGTATGTGATTTAACAGACAGATCATCATTTTAAAATTTACCAAAATGGGAAAAGATGATGGTAGATAATGGTTTAGATTTAAAATAAGCAGCAGTTTATGTAGTGGGAAATAAATCAGATTTAAAAAATAAAGAAGTAGATAGTGGAGATATTCTTGCATATGCTAAAAAGAAAGGATTTGAAGGAATGATATGTAGTGCAGCTGGAGGTGAAAATGTAAATGAAGTATAATAATGTTTATTAAAATATAAGTTATTTGAAAGAATGTTTGCAAAAATTGTTGATTAGATTGAAAGTCAAAAATCAAGAATCAAATGTTGAAATTGATTGATGATAACTTATATATATTATTAAATGTTAATAAAAATACAATAATTGATCAAATAAAAAAAAGTTATTATATGAAATAGTAAAAATTAAATCATAAGAATCAAATAATTAAATTAATAAAATGCTAAGCATATGAAAAAATAAAAAAAATCATTTACAATTAAGTGTTCAATTTTATAATGTTGTAAGATGAGTGATTAAAATAAATTTATTATCATTTGCATCAAATTAATATTTATATCTCAAAAAGCAAAATGGGATAAACCTGTACAATGAACACATGTTGTAGTAAGGAGGAGGTTTAAAATTTAAAAAATTCTGGAAGATCTCTGGAAATATAAATAAAAAAGTCAAAACATTCTCAACAAATAAATAAAGAATAAGAAAAAGTGGAGGATAAAACATAAAAAAAGAAAAGTGAGACAGTTTCTGATTTAATGGCATCATCATAACATAGTAAGATGTCTATAAAGTAAATTGAAAAGAATCTTCGAATAGAAATTAATGATGGAAATTAGAATCCTTTGATATAGAAGAGTATTGGTAATAATGAGAGAATGAAGCTTCCAGTAAAAAATGTTAAATAATTAAGATAATATTGTTATAAAATGGTGCATCATATGAAGGTGAATGGGTTTAAGGTAAGAGAGATGGATATGGTAAATAAACATGGCCAGATGGATCAATTTATGAAGGTGAATGGAAGGAAGATAAATCATGTGGGAAAGTAAATTGAATATAAAATAAAATAGGGGAAATTAATACATGCAGATGGTGATGTATATGATGGAGATTGGGTAGATGATGCAGCAAATGGTTTAGGAACATATATACATGTGAATGGAGCTAAATATTAAGGAGAGGTATAGGTTTTTAATTTATTTTAAGTGGTTAAATGATAGTTAACATGGAAGAGGCATAGAAATGTGGCCAGATGGAGCAAGATATGAAGGAGATTATTAATAAGGTAAAAAACATGGTTAAGGGAGATTAAATTTTGCAGATGGTTCTTGTTATTAAGGTAATTAATTTAGAATTTACATAAATTAGGTGAATTTTTTGATAATGAAATTTAAGGATTTGGAAATTATTAATGGCCTGATGGAAGATTATATGTTGGAGAATGGATGAAAAATAAAATGCATGGTAAAGGAGAAATTAAATGGCCAGATGGAAGATAATACAAAGGAGTATTTTAATTATAATAAATTAGGAATATGAAAATGATAAAAAACATGGTAAAGGTGTATTTCTTTGGGAAGATGGTAGAAAATATATAGGAATTTGGAAAACAGGTAAATAACATGGAGTTGGAATTTATTATTCTATTGATAATGTTATGAGAATTGGAGAATGGGTTGAAGGTAAAAGAGTTAAATGGTATGATAAAGAAGAAGTTAATGAATTAGAGAGAAAAGGTATAATAGATGAACTTAAAAATTAATGATTATATTTATTTATATTAACTACATTACTCATTTGAACTTATTTAATAAAGATTATATGTCAATACTTTTTCTATCTGTTGGATCGAAAATATATTCTTTATTTTATTTATATTTTTTAGCTGCTTTTATTGGATTTCCTGCAAATGCTTCATCTAATCCAACTAATTCTGATGTAGGATCAGGCTTTAATGTTTTATAATATTCTTACAGTATAATTTTATTGAACTTAAGCAGTTTATGGTCTTTTTAACTTTGACTTTTCTAAAGGTTTTTACTTTATAGACAAACTCAACAATCTATTTTCATCTGGTTCTTCTAAAAGATCTTTATCTAATTAAAATTTGACTTTCTCTTCTAGATCTTTCAATTCTTCTACTTTTATAAGCTAAGAGTGATTTAATAAAAATACATCAAATTTTGAGTCCATCATTTCAGCTATATCATAAAGTTATTTAATTTAATTTGTTTCTGAAATAAATTAAGATTCTGTTGGTATATCATTATCATCAATATAAATTTCAGTAGCTGGCAATTTTTCATATAGTTTTTCTCTCAAATGATCTTCTCTAATTAATGGGTTTGAACTTATTATTAATTATTGTAGATTTAAAGATTCTAGATAATCAATTTAAGATTCTTCAGCTAATTCATTACCTTCAATATCTAGAATTGATATCTTTTCATGAAAGGCTAATGGACTTATATCTTTTATATTATTAAATGAACAATAAAATTCTACAAGATTTGGCATACTCATAATTCCTTATAGAAATAAATTATATTAATTATACCTGAAATATCAGTTAATTTTGAATTACTTATCCATAGTACTTATAGGTTTCTTAACTTAGTTCCTAATAATCTCAATGATTCAATTTAAGAATGATTTAATTTTAATTCTTATAAATTTTATAAGTACTCTCCTAACATATAAAGAGAATCATTCATTGTATTAAATCTAAATTGTATTGATTTGATTTAATCAAATTAACTCTAAATATTTAAAATTATATTAAGTACTTCATTTTTTTTTGTTATCTCTGATAATGTATCTATATCCATTGTATCATAAATCATATCATCAATTTTTCTTTTTGCTATTTATAATTAAAACACTGGTTCTGAGATTTGAGATTCTTGTTATTTTGGTAGAGATAATTTCTTTGTTTCTACTTCTTCTTCTTTTTTTAATTCAATTTTTTTTCCATGTGATGTCAATGATGATCTCCTTAATATTGAAGGTTTATTAACTATAGAATTATTAAGACTTTATTCTTAATTCTAAATAATTAATTTATCTTCATCTTATTACTACTATTTTGCTGATGATAGCCTTTTTAATGCAAAAATTGGAGGTTTTTGTTCTTTTTATTCAATTTATATTTGTTCTGTATTTTTTTATAACTTTTTAATCATTAAAGGTCTGGATGGTTATGCTGATGTTATTCTGTTTGAGATAATTGATTATTTTAATGAAGAAATCTTGCTTTAATCTAATAATTTAGATGTATTAATTGAAGAAGGAGGTTTAGATGAATTGGGTGTTGCTGTCTCTTTATAGAAATTAGATGTGGCAGTAGACATAGCATCAAATTTACTTTTCTTTAAGTTTTCTTGTCTATCTCCTACTTGTCTTACTCTAAAATTTCCTTTATAATCATCACTGATAAATTCCTCTGGTGCTACCTTTCTATTTTTCTCATCGTAGTATTTTTGAACAAAACTTTGCGCTAATGACTCATCTAGTCTTTCTAATAATTTTTAGTTTAATTTCATTCAAATTTTATTATTTACTTTAACAAGTTTCATTTATATAATTATTTTATTAACTGACACACATATGAGTGAATTAACAGCAAATATAGGAAATATTTACAATGAAAATGCAATGACAGACGATAAAGGAAAGATCAAATCATAAACCTAATCAATCTATGTATCACCAAATGAATAGCCAACAATTTTAAGTTAGAATTTTGTTTATGATGGATTTAATACACCAAAAGTATGATCATATACTTACTTAGATTCCATGTTTATATCATAAAGGAAACATCCTAACAAATTTTTGTTCAAGCAGCAATTGTTTATTGCCTTTATGTCCATAATGTGTAGAAGAGCATATTAATAAACATAAGGAGGAAAAGACTGCGAATAAAATTGAATGTTTAGAGAATGTCTTAAATACTATTTATAAAGATATTGTTTAAGAAAGTATCTTATAATCCTTATTTAATTAGCTAATTTCTTTGCTAAAAGTTATTTTGATTTGAAAAAAAATGTTGATAGTATGGATTCTGCAACTGATAATACTATTAAAAAATTAGAAGCCATCTAAAGGCGTATTAAATAAGTAGTAGATCAATTTTTCGAATCTTTGATAAATGATGTTAAAAATAAACAAGAGAAGAATAAATCAAATTAAAAAAAGGATGCAGATTCTCTCAAAAAACTGGTATTATTAATTAATAAACTTTTATAGGTTTAAGAAAGATGGTCATCTCATGTTACTTTTTTAGAAACTTTGAATTCTGTAAATAGTATGACATCAGTGATTCAATATTTTGGAACATCCTTACGAGATGATAATGATAAGTATTTTAAAATATTGGATGAATATTCTAATAGATTTGAATATGTAACTTCAGAAATTAAGTTCCATTAAGAAAAAACGTAATAGAAAATGATAAATATATAGAATAGAAATTGCTGCTCATTTAAGTCATATAATCCAAATTAAACATAATGATGTACCTGAATTTATTAAAATACATACTCTACCAAGTCCATATATATCTGATGCAGTTTCCTTTAAATCTAAGGCATCCACATATATCAAACCTTCATAACCTTTATACCCATTTACATAGTAATCAAGTTTCACTCCACCTTAACATGTAATAACAGGAGCCACAAGATTACTTGATAGTGGAACATTTTACACTGATAAAAGATATACAGATTCATTAAATAGATTTCCATAGTATTAAATGAGATGATTATGTCTATATCTAATATAAAAACTTGACTTATAAACTATTTATTAATTAGGCCCATAAATTATTAATTATTAATTCAATATACACCATTATTTATAATATTCAATTCTAATTTTATTATGAAAAAAAATGTTGCAAGTTCCACACCAAATTCTAAATAGAAATAGAATATCAATTTTTCATAGGATCACTCACAAAAATAAATGTAAATTAGTTAATTTAATTCAACTGAAGATCAATCTCAAAGTGATTTGCTTAAAGTAAATATCTATTAATTAAATTAGAATGATGAATCCATTATATCAAATGATTTAAGTTAACCTTCCAATAATTTTGTATTCACATAAGAAATTTAAGATAATAGGGATAATTAAATTGAATTTATTAATAATGAAGATGATATCAAAAATAATTAAGATTAAAGTTTTATAATTTAAAATAGCGCTGAAAAAATTAATCATATTAATAATCAAAATCAGTCACCTCTAATCAATGAGAATTTAGAAAATTAATAAACTAGTTTGCAATATTTAAATCAAGAAATACATCAAAATCCATACTAATAAGGTATCAAAAATAATTATAAAAAGATAGTCATTAATTTAATATGATTGAATAAATAAATTAAGAACAAATTTAGGAGATTAAGAATGAAAGATTTTCTTATAGTAATAAAAAAGCATTAACTGTTGAAATAGAGGATAATGAATTTCAAGAAAGTAAATTATAAATTGAATAGTAAAATAAATAAATATTTGAAAATGAAACAAGCTTTTCTAATTTTTAATTTAATCTAAATTAATAAAAAACAAATAGTATTATAGATAAATAATATACAGAACATTGTTTAGATGATAATTATAAATTTTTATTCTCTTCTTAAGATGAAGATTTTTTAAAACAAGATAACCTGTAAATTTAAAAGATTGAAGAAAATAGGTAAGATATTGAAATAGTTAATGATTAATAAATATTTTAAATTAATGATAATTCAAAGGAAAAAGATGAAGCTAGAGAAATCTAAAGAACATGTGATGAATAATTAAAAAGAAACTCTTTAGATAAATCTTCAATATCTAATGAATTAAAAATTTAAGATAATTAGATTAATTAAATTCAAAATCAAGAAATCAAATAAATGTCATAAGATTCTTAAATATTAGAACAAAAATAATAAGAGTATTTCAATGTTGAAAATTTTGAATTTAATAAAGAATTGGAGATATAAATAGAAAATTAAAAATAGAATTATTTTGAACATGAAAAGAATAATAATTAAAATTAAGAAGTTGAATCAAATCATTAAGATTAAATAATCTTTGAATCTGAAGATTAAACTGATCAATTTTAAAACTCTTTAGAAATATAATTTTAATAGGTAATAAAAGATTAATAGTTATAATCCTAATAAAAAATTTAAGATTTTACTAAAGATGAAAATAACTTAGATGGATTGTTTTAGAATGGAGATGATAATTCAAATTATTAAATAACTTAAGAAGTATTTTAAAATGAAAATAAAATTGAATAATCATAAATAAATTAATTTTCATTTAATAATTAAATTGAAGAAGAATAAGATAAAATAATTTGTATTGAATAATCAAGAGAGGATTAAGAATTTAATGAAATCAATTAATAATTATAAAATAAAGAAAGTGAATAGTTAAATTAGAATGAATAAATAATTTCTGAAGGTTATTAAAGAGTAATAGAATCGTAAGTTGAACCAGAAAAAAATTTTGATTAAAAAAATATGGCTGATCAAATTCATCAAGAAAGTATAGAAGCAGAATAAAGTATAGAAAAGAATGATTAATAAGAAGTTGATAATATAACATTAGAGATATCAAAAAACATTTTGGAAGAGTTAAAGCATATAAAGAATTAAGATTCAGATTTTACGAAATTCAACGATATTGATTTAAATAATAATGATATTTAATAATAAGTGAACAAATAGGATATTGAAATAAACAATTAAAATATCTTATAAGAGATAGTTCACCCATAAATCTAACAACAAGAACTTAAAAGCGAGGATCATAAAGAGGAACATCAAGTACAAAATCAATGTTAGGAAGATTTTGGAATTTGTAATAAAGAATTAATAGAAGAACAGAAATGCCAAAATTTAGATTAAAATGTTATACAGTTTTATTTAAACTGTAATGATCAAGAAATGGAATAAATATAATAATAAGCTAAAAATGTTTTTTAACCATAAATTAATAATTTTTCTGAATAAAACTAAAAAATGAATCAAGACATCGAGTAGAAGGAAGATCATTAAAAAGACTAAAATCTCTAGTAAAATAAACAGAAATCACATATTAATATATAATAAGATTCAGAATTAGTAAATCGGGTTATTGATAATTAGTCTGAATCAAACAAAAAATAATAACCAATAATATTAATTGATCATTCTGATGCACAAGGCTTTTCAGATTAATATAATCATTTTAAACCAGATTAAAATGCTGATAAAAAAGGATTTGAGCGTAAAAATATCATATTTTCCTCTTAATAAAAAAAGAATTAACAAGGGGAAAATTTTTTTCTTTCTCAAACAAAAATACAGAATTAAGAGGATGTATCTAATTAAAATCCATCATGCAATAGTTAATCATAACATTTAAAAGAATATAGTTCATCAAAAAGTAATGATTATAATAATATTGATGTGGTACATGGTGGTGATTAAAATAAAGATTATGCTGATGAATTATAAGAATAAAGAAAATAAAAAATAAGAGAATTAGAATTATAAATATTGCAGGCTTAAAGAGAAATCGATGAAAAAGATGAAAAAATAAAATAAAATTAAGAAATGATCACAACCTTTGAAAGCTTTATACTTCAAGATTATAACCCTGAAGAATTCGAAAAAATTATATTATCCGAAAGCAATTTTGAAACAGATAATATGTTGATTACCAATCTCATTAAAAAATTGAGATAATTTTTATAAGATTTCTAAGATTCAATAATTGATTTGATTACTAGATTTGATGGAAAAACTGAATTAGATAAAGATGAAGAAGGAGAGAAGGATAGAGATACAAAAGTTCATGATAAACATTTAAACGTAATAACCAAAGAATTTAAAAAATTTATATAAAAATAATAGAAAAAAGATTTGGAAGATAATAAAGGTTAAATTATAAATTAAGATCATTAAAAAGAAGAATTACGAATAGCAAACAAAGATTTAGATTCATTAATATCTTCTATTATTGGTTAAACAAAATTATTACGTGATATTTTGTAAAAAAGTTGTTGTCTAATAATAAAATTTAATTGCGAAATGTACAATGGCCTTTAAGGAATGTCTAAAAATAAAAGTTAAATTGCATAAATTGTAGATTTAACAAAAACTGTAAGGTAAATAACGTAAAAATTCTAATAAATTATTAATGAATAAGTAGATTTATAGGAGCTTTCTGCTGATAATGATCAAATACTATTGTTAGAATTATTAAAATAGCTAATATATAAATAAGAGGAAGCAAAAAAATTTTAATAATTGTTTACAGAATGTTTATTTTAAAGAATTGATCTTGTTCAGCAAAGTGAATAAAATTTAAGAGAAGATATGGCAAGAATGCTTTAATAATTAAATTGATATTAAAATTTTATAATAGTTAAAGAGGATACTCTTTAATAATTTCTCGCATAGTTTTTTTCTTGTAATTATTATAAAAATAATATAGATTTCTATATTAAATAAATTTTTTAATTAATTAATAATTTTCTGGCATGTAATATAGTCAGGAGTTGAAAAACAAGGCTTCCTCGATTATATCTTATACAAATTTAGGATGGTAGCAAACAGGAACAATTTGTGATTGTCTTTAAGATAGATATGAAATTGAAATAAAATATTCGAAAGCAATAGAAAAATTGGCAACAAAATTAGCACCAATAAATGAATTCTTTAGTGCTTCTTTTGGTATAAGAGCATAATTATCTTCTCAATTTGCTGAAGAAATAAAAGGAGAGATTGATATAATGAAATAGCTCATAGCTTAATAAAAAGCAACTTAATATTTAGATTATATAAAATTATGGGATAGTTAATTATAATCAATAAAATCAAATTTAAAAGCAGTTGAAGGGTTTTTAAAAAATAAAAAAAGAGAATATGAAATTGAGGGAACATTGGAACTTGCATTTTTAGTATCTTAATAAGATAAACTTGAAAAATAGAGAAATAAGTATTATTTTAAGTATAAGTAATTTAGAGCTCTTGCATGCAGAAAAGATTATTAGTAGGCTAAAGGAAATTATTTAGAACTGAAATTAGAAATGGAGCAGATTTTGAAAGAGAAAGAAGCAGAAGTTACTTTAGATTAACTTTAGTACTTAAATTTATAAAGACTTAATTCAATCAAAGATTGTATTTTAAAAATATTTGTATATGAGTCTTCTATTGCAAAAAATCATTTATATGATTTAGAAAAAATGTCAGATGTAATTTATAATTAGAATAATTTAGAGACTACATGATTAAGATTAAAATTAATTTATTGAAGAATTTATTAAAAAAAATAAATAATAGGAAACAAATTCTCTAGAATTGGAATCTTTTCTTACTAAATTATTAGACAGTTAAGGTTAATTTTAAATATATACTACTAATATTTATCCTATAGGACTTGAAAAGACAGAAGAATAAATTTTATAGGAAACAAAAGAAATCTAACAATCACCTTAAAAGCAGCAAGAATTCTTGAACTTTTTATCTTAAAAGTTCAATTCAAGTTCATTCTAACTAACTTTATAAGAGTTTATTTAATGTACAAATATTTCTATAGGAATCTTGGATTAAGTAATAATTTTATTTTTATAAATTAAGTGTTATGAAAATAAAAATGCTATTTTGGCTTAATCGTTACTATAATTTAGTTTTGGACTATTCACTAAAGACACATAAACTAGATATATGTAGGATATGTTAGTGAATCATTAAATATGGTAATACCGTGATTATTGGGAAGCTGTTATTATAAATTAAATATCAAAAATAAAAAAAGGAACCAAAGATAATATTAATACAAGCATTTTAAGTATTCTAACTCAAGTGGCATAACATATGTTGATGTTCAAGTTATCACCAGATTTAGTTAGGGATATTGTTTAAAAGTTTTCTTAATTTTTTAAATTGAACAAGGAAATAGCTGATGATCTGATTGTAAAATATTACATTAATATTATTAGGAAGCAATTAATAGTTAAGTTTGAAAGACAAATGTGTAATAAATCTTATTATTAAATAGATTATATATTTATATATATAAGTCTATATAATATTTATTTATTTTTTATTGTAAATTAATAGAAATTAGTTAATTTATTATCTTATATTTGTATCAATTCTAAAAGTCTTTATTTTAAAGAGGAATAACTCTTTAATTTTGATCAATTTAAATAAGTTATTGTTTTTGAAATATATGATTAGAGAATATTATTTACTCAAAAATTAAGTTATTTTTAAAAAATTATATGAATGGAAAATATATGTAAATAAAAAAAAGAATTTGAAATCAAAATTAGTAATCCACTTTAATTGTTCCTTCATTATTTTAAATAGTATTGTTAATAGGTTAAGATTGTTTTCTAGAGTTTTCTACCTTTTATTTAATTTCAATTTGGTTAGGAGTTGTTTATTGTAACTTTCGAAGAATCATAGATAATGATTAATCAAAATTATGTACAGACAATGTTCCATATTGATTGTATTTGATTGGTTTTTATTATTTGATATCATCAAAAACAGAATTAAAGTTTAGAGATTAAGAATTAAGTTTTTGGAATTGTTAAGTGAGATTATTTAGTAAACATTATGAATTGTTGGTTTAAGTATCTTAAATGTTTTTATCATTTAATTATTGCTTCAATATTTTGATTTATTCTTTGTGTATAGTTTTAGTTAATTTGAATTTTTAGATAGAATGTGTAGCCATGAATATGTAATTATTAGTTTTTTCTATTTTAATTAAAATGTAAATTGTGTTAATTTTTAGATTTGAATTGAATAAAATCAATCAGATTTTATAGGTCATTAAGAGAATGTATAGGTTGTAATATAAAATTAATAGAAATTAAGATAAATGAAAAAAAAAAAAAGTCATATCAATTTAGTAGGATAATGAAAAAGTTAACAATTATTAATTATTAAAATGGATAATAGTAAATTTTATATTCTAAAATAAAGGATTGATATATTGATAATGTTATATTATTATGAGTATAAGTAATAATAATATGTATATGATATTGAAAATAATGAGAAGAAGCAATGATAAGTTAATTTATAAATATTGATAACATAATTTTAATTGACAAAAAAGAAATGTTTGTCGACTTATGGTTAAATTTCTGTTGCGCGAGAAGACCTAAACAAGAAGCCCAAGATCAGCCTATAAGTGTGAAAGAGGATTCTAATAAACCATTATTAGACACAGGATAAGTGTATGTACCATCACCTGTTGAGTAGAAAGCTTTGCAATCAACATCTTAAGAGTTACGGCAGAAGTTATAAGAAGCTTAAGAGAAACTGCAACAATAATAATAAATATAATAGCAAAATCATTTTTAGAGTATAATAAATAAAGGAGCAGTAAAGACATCAATAGAAATGGAAGGTATATTGACAATTACTATTAAGAGTGGAACCTGTTGAAGGATTTCTGTCATTATCTGATAATAAATCCAATAAGATGGCTAGTTGGGAAGCATTAGAACTCTCAAGATAAAATGATGTTTTAGGATAACTAGCATAGTTCTCTATCTTAGCTAAGTCAATATCTTCTAATAATGGTCCATATTAAGGTAGTAATCCAGGTAGTCAACCATCATCTGATTAGTAAATTATGTCTGGACCATACCAATAGTAAAATATCATTTCGAAAAAATTAGGTAAAATATTCAAAATCTTGCTCAAACTACATAACTGGAGGTTATAGATGAGTACCCAAAAAAATCAATGATTAAGTAAGAAATCTATATTTATCCTTAGATCATAAAGCTAAATATCATTAGAGACCGGGAAAATTGAGAAAAAACGAATCCAAAAAGATAAAAAACAATTCAAAGATAAAGCTAATAAAGGATCAAATAATGAAAACACTATAAGAAAAGAAGTCACTCATGCTAAACTTTGGGATAAGAATGAAGATGCGATACTAAGATAAGCTTATATTAATTTTAATGGAAATTGGAGAAAAATAGCAGAATAATTACCAGGAAGAAATATGAATTAATGTTCATAAAGATGGAGAAGATTAAATCCATAAGAAGTATAATTTATAAACTAATTTAAAGGATAATAAAAAAAAATGGTCTTTCGATGATGATTAAAAAATTAAATAACTTGTCTAAAAATATGATAAAAATTGGGCTGAAATAGCAAAACATTTACCAGGTAAAAGTGGAAAACAAATAAGGGAAAGATATCTCAATAAATTAGATCCAACAATTAATTCATCACCTTGGACAAAAGAAGAAGATGATATTATTTTAAAGGTTTATAAAGAGCATGGTGCAAAATGGAGTATCGCTTCAAAATAATTGAAAGGAAGGCCAGTAACATATTTTTGAAAAATAAATTAGGAAAATACTGTTAAAAACAGATTCTATTCTTATATAAGAAGAGTGTTTTTAGGTCAGTAGAATCCGTATTCAGTGGTTTTAAATAATGGTGATAATAATGGTCATGATAATACATTGTCCTAAGATAGTGAATCTATTAAATAAGCTTTGTCAATGGACTAAACTCCTTCAGTATTATACATTTAATTATATTTAGTTCACTGCTTCTTCCTATTTAAGTTCTTTAATGGATGATGACTATATTGAAGACGAAGATGAACCAAATGAATAAGAAGATCAGTTTAAAATTTGATATTATTTTTATAATGGGAAATTAATGTAACCATGTTGAAATCAATGATAATGAATTCAAATCTGTATAAATTGAAGATGATTCTGATTCATTCTTAGTTTACAAATTTGATCCAAAAATACATTGTCTTAATACCTCTGATTTAAGAAAACTTCAATCACTTGATTCATTAAACAGTACAAAATCACAATTTCATGACAGAGTTAAAAAAGTTCCTTTTAATGTTAAATTACATCGCAAAAGAACATTGCATTATGAAAGTATCCATGATTCTTAAGCTTAATCTCCTTCTAATTAAGTTTCTGACTATTTTGAATACCCAAACGGTGTTTATCAAGGTCAAATGGTTGATGGTAAAAGAGAAGGCTAAGGCTAGTTTTTTTATCATGATGGATCATATTTCAAAGGTAATTGGAAAAATGACATGGCAAACGGTTTTGGGAAAATTAAGTTTTAGGAAGGAGAATTATATGAAGGAGAGTTCTAAAATGATTAACAACATGGTTTCGGTAAGTACATATCAAATTAATTGAAATATGAAGGATAATGGAAGGAAAACTAACCTTCTGGAAGTGGAATTGAGATTTATAACAAATATTACATTTATGAAGGAGATTTTTTAAATGGATTGAAGCATGGAAAAGGAAAAATTCAATGGTATAAGGATGATTCTCGATATGAAGGAGAGTTTTCTGAGAATCAATTAAATGGATAAGGGATTTACTATTTTGGAGAAGGAGAAATTTATGAAGGAGAATTTAAAGATGGAAAAATGCATGGGTATGGAAGATTTGTATGGCCTAATGGAAAAATGTATGAAGGAAATTATTATTTTGGTAGAAAATAAGGATTTGGAAAGTTTACAGCACCTGATAGAATTTATACTGGAGAATGGTATGATGGAGTATATCATGGATATGGAAAATTAGAAAATAATGAAAAAGTTATAGAAGGATATTGGGAAAATGGAGTTTTCCAAAAATGAATTTTCCTAATTTACTTTTTATATTATTAAATCTATATTGGGTTTTTTAAAAACACTACAGTTTTGTATTCTATTCTTTGTGATAGTAATTTTAATATATAAATGAATAGGAGTTGATATTTATTATTGCTAGTAACAAAAATATTGAATGAATAAATATTTCTGCTCATATTAATGAAATATTAATTAAAAACGGATGAAACGAATTCTATTGTTAACATATTTGTGTATAAACACATTTGCGACTGATTCTGTCAAAGATTTTGAATTCTTAACTCAAAGTGATTATGGCAAAAAAGTATTAAAAGAATAATAGCTAGTTCTGAAATCTAGTTAAAGTAATTATATAAATAATATACCAGACCCTGTTGATTTGATTATTAATCTAAATCATTTTGAATCTGAGCTTGTAATGGATAGTGAAAAAACAATGAAAGAGTATTAGACAGTTTATACAAGCAGTAAAATATTCAAAATTTATAAAATAGATATTGAGAGGAAATAAGCATTAAAGTAAAAGATATTCTTATCAAAATATCAATTACAAAATGTTGGTGAAGAACTTACTATTGTAACAAAAGAAAAAGAATTTTCAGAAAAAATATACGAAGAAAGAAAAAAATTATTAACAGAAGAAAATAAATTTGTTCCATAAATGCAAGCTATTCGTAATGATGAAGTATTATTTGCAATTTTATTTTTAGGTTGATAAATTATAAACTTTAAAAAAAGAAATCAATCAAACATCTAAAGTCATTAACTCATTTTTATAATAATTTTAAGGCTTAGCTCATTTCTTAGCCAAAAAACCAGATTTGAGTGAATCACCAGCATTCTTAGCTAATAATAAATAAAATGATGAATTAAATAAGTTTAAATCAATGTGCAATGATATAAGAAACGAATTAGACACTGTTGTGATTGACAACCCTTACACATTAGTCTTATGTATTTTTGATATTTTAAACCTTAAGTTTCATTGAAGCCATTATTGGCACCTGAAAATGCTCATTTGATTGAAGAGGTTCCTTAATTATTAAAAACATTAAATCTTGCTTTAGAATCAAGTTCTGAAGAAATTGAAGCTGTAAGTAATGAGAGATAGGAATTATTTAATATTGAAAAGAATGAACTTAAAAAAGATGTAGATAAAAGATCTGCTGAAGTAAATTAATCATTTAATTAAATAGTGTGATTAAATTAAATAAATATTTGAAAGATCTTCTGTTGATTTAGATAAATTAACTAATTAACAAGCTGATTTGAAAAAAAAGATTGCTTAATTATAGACAGAATAAGAACAATTGCAATCTGATATGGAAGGATAATAAGTATTTATATAATTAATTAAATAGAGAGAATATAGAAATAAATTAAAGAATAATTTAGCAAACTTGGGTTTGATTAGGAAAATTAAGTACTTATTGAGTTAAAACAATAAAGGATATTTGCAATTCATAAAGAATTAAAAATGATGAGCATATATATTTGTTTTAATCTATATATTTATATCAAAATTAAATTGCAACTTAATTGAAGATTGTTTGATACAATATAATTCTTTTTATTATCATTTATTATATATATAATTAAAGATATATTATATAATTAATCTGATTAATAATATTAATGTGATTCATGAGCCATAATAGATGAAATTGTTATCGTATGCATTTTATTAAGGCTTTTTAATACGGATTAATAATATTGTTATAAAGTGGGCGTTTATGTGGGAAATGGATATTTAATATAACAAATGGAAATCATTGAAACCATTAATAATTCAAAGTAGCTTATTGGAGGAGCATATAATTAAAATGAACTTGTGATTGCTTAATGGGGTGGCAATGTCATATTTAAGAGATAAAACGAATAAGATGTTAAAGTTAATACATTCTGTGTTGGTAATAAATGAATATATTTTTAAGGGTTATTAAAGATGGCTGATGATAAATATTTATGCTTCACAAGCAAAAATTATTTATTATAAATTAATGAAGATAGAAAGATTGAATAAATTGATTAGCAAGATAGTCCCTATTTTGTATGTGATTTTTATTTGAAAACTTGTCTATTCATGCATAATACAATTTAATAATAACGATTTTTATGCCTTTGGAATATGCTGACGTAATAGAAATCTAGATATGAACATATCAGCAGCATTACAAGTGTAATGGCTGCTGATGACGGTATTTGGATAGGAGATAAGGATGGATTTTTGAATTTTATAACTTATAAACTAAAGCTTCAGAAACGTGTAAGAAGTATATAATTCTTATATATCTAGTATTTTAAAACGAAATCTCTAAGATTTAAATTATGAACAAGAAAATATATTGTGTTTCATAGTAGTAACTTAAACTATTTTGTTAAGATTAAGTTGTCTCTATATGTAGTTTCGATAGTGAAATTAGCTGTATTGGTGCATTCAAAAATAAATTGATATTAGGAACAACAAATGGATAGTTAATGATTTAAGAAAATTACAAGAATTTTGCAAAACATTAGATACATGCTAGTTCCATTACGAGTTTCTCTGTTAATGGTACTCAAATTGTAACAACAAGCAGTGATCGTACTGCTAAAATCATTCAATTAAGATGTGAATGAAAACATATTCATATAAAAGATTAAAAAATTAAATTAATTTCCTTCTATATACATAATACTTTAATAATGGAATGCATCAAGGTTTAAGTTTTCTATCATTTTTAAATATTTTTAATCCAATATGGATTTTTTTTCATTAGATGTGATTATATTTAAAAATTTAATTATATATATATTATTTCTTATCTTATTTAATTATTAAATGAGTTAAATTCCTAAACAAGATGAAGAAGGTTAAAATTTATTAGATAAGGGAAATCAAAGAGAATAATTTCAACCTTCATTTTAAAGGTTCTCATATAGTTCTAATTGGAATGAATAAGAAAATCCTTAAAAAAAATCAGATTATTCAGGTCCATCTAAATTTGATGCAATTGTGATTTTGATTCTATTATTTATGGTTGGATTAGCTGGATTTGGATTATTAAAACATTACGATGGTAATGAATGATGGTTCTATTCATTAGTTGTCATCCCTGATAAACCTATAGAAAATAATGTACGTGTTACTCCATAATTAGTTCATCCATAAGAATCTGTTGTTTAAGATGTTTTTAATAAAATAAATGAAGGTCTTTAAAATTAAGAATAATAAATGGTTGAAAATCAAATTACTAAGGAAGATGAAAAAACTCTAGATTAAGTATTAGATAATTATATTTCAAAAATTGAATAATATACTGATATACGTACAGTCTGGGTAGATGATGATGATAGCTTAATTGATAATAAAAATAATTCTTTAAATAATGAATAAACATAAATAGAACAAAACTATTAATAGTAATAAAATATTGTAGATGATTTAGATGAATTAATCATCTCATAAGAAGATGAAATATAAATTATTAGACCTGTATTTTCAAAGAATATTTACACATATAAAGAATTGTAAAATGGTTTAAAAGTTTTATACATTCAATCTACAACTGAAAGTATTACTTTAGTTGCATCATTGAATCTTGGTAGAATTAATGACCCATAAGAATAATCTGGATTAACTGAATTAATGTTTAAATGTTTATAAACTAATTTCCAGATAGAAGTTAATGAATATTACACAAATTTTATAATCTAATTAAATTTATTGGAAGAATTAAATGCTAAATTGTAAGAGCTATATATGATATTCACACAACCAATATTTATTGATATTGTGAAAAATGCTAAAGAATAGTATGAAAAAATCATAAATGAATCTAAATCTCCTCATTTTCAATATGTTTCTAAGTTTTTAAATTCATAATCAAATTTAAAAGAATAATCTATTTTATCCGCTGATTCAGATCAAATTTACTAATTTTTTATTTAACATATTTCTTCAGATACTATTAGTTTTGTATTCTAAAGTCAATAGGATTTTGAAATTATTTAAACAAGACTTTTATAATCAGAATTAATGAAATTATAGAACTTACATAAATATCATGATCCAACTTATGAAAATAACTTTCCTTAAGGTAGATAAATTCTTAAATTCAAGAGTGAAACAGACCTTTTATAAATATTATCAATAAGTGATGAATTAAGTTGTTAAAGATTTTTATTATATTTATTACCAAAGCCTTTTATAGGTTCAATATAAGAAAATCAATTATTAATTAAATTAGATGTCGATATTAATAATGCTTTAACAACTATTAACAAATTTATTTAATTTCTAAACTTTCTTCAGTAAGCTGATGAAATTTAATTAACATAGTTGTATTCTTAAATGTTAGTTACAGAAGAATTACTATTTAATACTAAATATCAAGAAGATTTAAAAAAAATTAGTTAAAATTTATTCATCGATCCAATCTATGGATTAAAAGGTAAGGAGAGCTTAAGAGTTTTTGATAAAAATGAATTTGATTAATATTTAACAAATTTAGAAAATAATTTTATCATTTTGATAGGAAGTGATAATTTTTAATTTGATCCAAATTATAAATCAACAAATGAGGATTAAATATTTTTTGTGGATGGTGTATTAAATAAAATTTATTAATAATTTCAATATGATTTAAAAGCTTTAACAACATAGTTTGATTAAACGAATTAATATTAATTTGAATTGCCCTAATTAAGTACATTTTTACCTGAAAATTTGGCTTTAGTATCAGTTTGTCAAAACCCTGATTAGTATAATACTTAAGAATAGGATAAAACTTAAATTGATAATTTGAGTAATACAGTAAGAGAAAGTAAATATGATGTCTCAAAAGAGATTAGTTTTGAAACTATTGAATTTAAATGTGAATTTCCTATGCCTAATTTTGGAAATAATTGTGTAGAATAAGAAAAAGCTGCTTAAATATCTTTAGTTCCATTTTAAATTTCAAGTAATGTATGGTGGAAACCAAGTAGATTAGATGCTATGGTGTTTACAGGTTTATTTATAGAAAAACCAGAATCCACTTTAGTAGAAGGGAAAACAATGTTGAAGCTTTTATAAAAGTTTTATACAGAGTTATCAAAAAAGTAATTTTAATAAGAAATTCTTTTTGGTTATGAATTAAATTTTAAAGAAACTATAAATGGACTAAATATATAAATGTTGAGTTATTCTGAAAAATAATAAGAATTTTAGGATAAAGTTTTTGATTTAATGAATACTGATGATGAATAATTATTTAATTATGTTAAGGATTTGTTAAGTTAGGATATTAAAAGATTTCATGATTAAAAGTTATCCTTATTAACTAAACATTACTATTTACCTAAGATTATGCTTCGTCCTGTTAGTTCTTCTTAAGAAATAATAGATGAATTAAGTGAAATTGATTATCAAAGATTTTAAATATTCTCAGGTTAATTATTAACAAGCAAAATTTAAATTTTGAATTTAGGAAATATATTACCAAATAATAATGTAGTTGAAGATTCTTAAGAAATTTATATTACTAGAACTTTAAATTTAAAAGGATAGAATTTAAAATATAAAGTTAAAAGAGAATCCAACATTGATCTTACATCATCTGTATTAAATTATTATTAAACAGGATTAAAAAATTTAGAAAATACAGCAAAATTATATTTTTATAGTGATTTTCTATAATAATATTCAAACAATTATTTTCCAATGGGATAATAAATTCAGATTAAAAGAAAAGCATTAGGATGTGCTGATGGTTTGTAGATTTATATGTAAGGAGTAAATCCTGAATAAGGAAATAAATAAATTGATGAATTTTTAAAAGAAGCTAATAGTTATTTAAATAAACTATAAGATGAAGAGATAGTAGATTAAAAGATTCAAACAATAAATAGATTATAAAATGAAATAAAATTTAAGTCTCTTAAAGAGGAAGGAGAATATATTTGGGATAAAATAGTTAATAAAAACTATGCTTTTACAGAAATCTAGGATGTGATTGGATATTTAGATGAAGTGTTTCCATAAAAACTTAAAGAATGTTATAATTTAACAATGTAAGGTTTAATTAGTGTGTAAGTATATGGATTATAGGAATAGATAGAAAAAGATGGAGGAATGGAGTAAATAGAAGAACTAAATGGTTAAGATGTATATGAATGCTTCTTTTAATTATGATAATTAGTTTTATGTATTTATGTAAAGATGTATATTAGAGAAAATAAATTGAATCATTATAATGTTAAATAAATTAAATTAAATTCAAATCATATTATCTTAATTAGGAACCATAATTTCTGCATTCCCATAATCTCCAATTAATGGTACCATACTTTTATTAAAATAAGATCTAGCTGCCATAGATTAATTATCTTTAACAGGTAAACTGAGCATATTTTTATCAGCAATATTAGTAACAATGAAGTTATTGGTATTAGTATTTTAATTTAATTACATTTATTCTTCCTCTTCTTCATTTTCTAAGAGATTCTTCTTTCTAAATGTGTTTCTTTTGCTTATGAGATTTAGATGTTTAACTTAATATTATCTTCTGTATTCTGATGAATTACTTATTGCTATAGTTTACAATTCCCAATTAATTTTTTCTTAGGGAGGTAATGAATGATGAAATTAACTATGTTAATCTGATTTATCTGATTAAATCTTAGAAGATTCTTATGAAATATTATCTTACTCTTCTGATTAATGCATATCTGGCCCCCCTTGTTAAATCACTTTTTGTTATTATTCAACAATCACTTCTTCTTATTAAGGAACTGTTTAAATGAATTTAGCTAATGCTTACATTTCCATACTCAAATTAAGACTACTATTCTTAAGATGATCCAAGTACTCAGGAATGAAATCTGTAGTCTTCATTTCTATTACTTTATAATTACTGGATTCATTTTTCCTTTCAAGAACTGCCTTGATATAATTGTTCTGTAAATTTTCTAGAATAACTAATTTATCATCTAAAGTTTATTCTCCAAATCTTATACTCAGAAATCTCACATCATCAAAGAATTGTAAAACTGTGCTAAAATAATATTCTACATTTTAAATGTTATTTTTTATAAACTCTTCTCTATACTCCATTACTTTATAGAGATCTTTTACAAATTATTGAAATGATAAAGTTTTTAGAAATTGTAAGAAAAATAGTTAATCTTAACTTTCAAAAGAAGTTAAAAATTTCTTATAATCGAACATTACAATCTTTTTTTCTGATTTCTAATTTGATGTATCAGTACTGAAGTATTTATAGATATCATTTAACATAAGTAACTTAAAATTATAAAATGCTTATCTATATTTCATAATTCCTTCTTCAAAGATTTCCTAGATTAGTGAGAATATTTACATTTTCATAGAATTTAAGATCTGCAAAGACAGTGTTCATTTTTCGAATAAAGTAATTTTGATATTGTTTAGGACATTTTGGATCATCTGATCTAGATAGAATGCGTCCATCATCTATATCATAAATAACTCTTTTTAGTTCTTTAGGTAAAGGTTTTTCAGACTAGATAAATGATATATGATTACAATTTCATAAAGATTTCTATCTAGACCTATAATGTATGGTAATTAAGATTTATGAAAATCAAAAGATCCAGGTCTAAGAAAGGGAATGAAAAGGCCTCTCCATTATAAAGGAGCAAGTAATTCTACTAATGATTAACAAAATAATGTGATGCCAGCAGGTTTACGAGAAACAATAATGATTTAATATTCAAGCATCATGTATAATAGTAATTTGTACAAATTGAAGATTGGTTGATTGAATATTAAAACATCGAAAAGGTTATTTGACAATTTGAAGATAGAAAAATGTGTTGTTAAATGTGAATTGGAGACATAGTAATTCATCCATATCTCAGAACTACTGAACTTTAACCTATACTCTACGCTTGCTAATTATTGATATATAAATACTTATCTTAAATAATAGGACATTAAGTAAGTGCAGTTCGTATATAGAAATCATAGAGTTTGATTTCTTCAATTTAATATTCTTATTATCCTCTTTTGATTGTAATTATTTTATCTCTTTCTCTATTTTATGATAAACGTAGTTTCTAGATTTTAAGTAATTGCATCAAAAAACTTCTTTGTGGAATGAATGCAGGATAATTAGATATCACACAGAAAGCTTTGGGTACAAAAACTTACATTAATTTATCATTAGGTGGCATAATTAAGAACATTTTTTCATAGAAACAAGCTGATGTACAATAAAACTTGATGTGCTATTTAAAATCATTGATAACGAAATAGTTAATCTCGTTTGTAGATGCCTATATATCATCTTCTTTGAAATATTCTTCTATTTTATTAAATCTACTGTCGCCTTCTTTAATTGTTTTTACTCCTAAAGGAAAGCACCACTAAATAATAATAATTCTCTAATAGTTTACTAAAGCAATGTCAGCTAAAACATGATTCATCTTTCGTTCTACTGGATTAGGAAATATCGTAAGTATCGCAAGATCCTTCTTATTTGCAGTAGTGCATGATTAAAGTATCACATCTACAAATACGTTGATTTCTTGTGAGTACCTTAGTCATTCGTCTTAATTCCTGCAGTCACAAAGAATTCAAATAAATTGCCTAATTTCTCCATTTAATTTTTTTATAATAATAATTAATATCTAACTTATTCTGTTCTAATTAATTTTATTCAAAAAATATACTCAAATTATATTGTTTACATTGATAAATATGAATAACTCTCTTTTTCATTCATACTAAAATTAATTAATTATTTTTAGAATTAAGATTATTTCTTTGATTAGAATTATTAAATCAAATAATGAATTATCCAATATTTGTTTATTTATTATCTTGATTGGCGCCAAAAATGAATAATATTAATATATCATATGGCAAACCTTTTTGATGAAGAATAAGGAAAATACTTAAGATTAAATGCTCTTAAATATCTTGAAAAACCTCCAGAAGTGTAAAGAGAAGATGATCCATTTATTACTAATGGATCTTTAGCAATTACATATATTTTAGTGGAAACTGTAGAATAATATTAAGCAGGTTAAGGTTTGAAGTTCTAACCTAGTTATGTACATTAAGTATTTAGATCAACTAATGAAATTTATGGTTACAAAGATCTTAAAATTACTATTCATGTAACAGCACTTGGATTGAAACCTTATATTCAAGTAAATCACTTCAATATATTTATTATAGATATCTTATAGTGAGTAAACTGAAGATGCTGATGACTTAATTGAGAGTTTTAATAAAGTATATGAAGCTGGTTTCCTTTCAAATGAAGAATAATTCATCAAAGTACTTGAAGAAGAACAAAACCAACAACCTTTAGGAGAACTAATAGAAGAATATGGAGATTTCAAAATATATAAATGTTAAATGGCAACCACTAATGGGTTTGTTTAATTCAAACCATTTTTATAAGCATTCCTTTTGGTTTTAATTGATGGAGTTTAATATCCAGGAGATGAAAATGAATGGGTTTATTTAATATTATATCATAAACGATAATTTGTAGGATTGACTACTGTCTATAAATTTAATATTAGTTGGAATTAATAAAGACATCGTTTAAGTCAAATGTTATTCCTACCTTAATATTAAAGAAAAGGACATGGAAGTAGAATGTTAAGAACAGTCTATAAATTAGGATTAGAAGATGAAAAATGTTTATAAATTACACTTGAAGATCCATCTGAAGATTTTTAAGTTATGAGAGACATTACTGATTCCAAAATTTTATATGAACATTTTAAAGATATTATTCCTAATTAGGTTAAATATTATTATTATTATTATAGATTATTAATTCAGTTTAAGATATTGTAGATATTCCTAAAGATAAATTATTTGAAATTATGAAAAAGACAAAATTACACGCTTATTAAATCAAAAGAGCCTATTCTATATATCTATATGCATTTATTAATAAGTATATTCTTATTATTATTAGTATTTTAGAAAATCTTCAAAATTGATGACAGATTTTGCTAAATTTTTATTAAGAGAACATTAAAAACCTTATATTAGAAAGAAGAACATTTTAGTTAGATTTGAAGATGGTACTTCCATGGATCCAAAATAATTACATCTTTTAGAACTTAAAGAAAGAGAAGATAGAAATATTATTGCTGAAGAAAGCTTAGGTGATGAATTTTGTTTATTTGAACTTATTGCTACCAAATTAAGAAAAGATAAAATAATTTGAAATTAACAAATTATATATTTATTTATTTATTATTTATTTTATCAATCATCATTATAGATAGACAAAGAATTAGAAAATATTTTTAATTTTTTTTTATAAGAGTACTTAAAGAACTCAGAATTATATGAAGAATAATAAATTAAATGTACTCTAATAATCTTAAAATTTATTTGGAAGTATTTTAATAGTGTTATATAGAATCTTAATAGAACTTATTTAAACTTTAAAATTTGATATAAATTCTAATCAACTCACTATAATTAAAGAATTGACAAATGAAAACAATATGAAAATTTATTATTAAGTATTAAATAACTAAATAAATGAGTTTTATACAACAATTTGTTTCCTAATAAGTTCCAGAATGGAAAAGTGCATACTTAAATTATTAACTCTTAAAAGAAGTCCTTGACCCTTTTAAAAGAGTCACTAATTCTCTCCCCATTCTCAATCTTACCATTAAACTTATCAAAGATTAAAATTTAGATGCAAATATACCATAAGAAATTTAAACTAAATTGTAAATTTTAGAAGAAGAATTTATTCAACTATTCTAAGATGAAACTTAAAAATGCAATAATTTTTTTCTTATACAAGTTAAAATATTAAAACATTAATATGAGAAAATGATAGATTTTGAAGATGATTTTGAAAGAATTAAAGCTTTTGAAACACTCTACAAAAAAGGATAACTACTTAAATAATTCAAAAATTCAAACATTGAAGCAACTCATCGAATTTTACAATCATATCATCGTTATACAAGCTTTATTGATAATTCAGAAAATCATATGGATAATTTTTTTAAGAATTTAGAATTTGTAAATGATACTTCTTTGAATAAAATTATCAAAAATATCAAAGCAAATTATATTAGAAATGGATGGAATGGTCAAGAATTAGAAAAGTTAAAACAATAATATGCAATTTAACATAAACTTTAATATATTGGATTTTTAGGAGGAATTATCATTTATCTAATGTTATCTTTTATTTATTAAAGAATAGACCTCAATTTTTTAAATATTTCAGAAGATTATACAACATATCTTCTATTTATAACAATGGCAATTCCATTATTTTATTTATGGTTTTTTTCTACTTTATTATAAATCTTAAAAAAAAAGTATATTAACTATTGGGTAATTTTTAAGATAGATTATATAAGAGATTCTATCTCTAAGTTATATTATTTAGCTGCAATCATAACAATTATATTCTTATCAATAGTTAATTATGGTTTAATTTCTGAATTTTAATTTTATGCGTTGACCAATAAATTAATTTATTATCAAATGTTTAGCTTTATTGAATTTGATCCAGTATATGCTTTATTTATCTTCTGGATTTTTTTAGTGCTTTTCATGATAAATCCATTAAAAGTCTTTGGTTATGAAGCTAGAAAATATTTTTGGATTTTATAAATAAAAACATTGAGTGGTCTCTATTTGAGCAAAGAAATCCTTTGGAATATTGAATAAATGGTATCAATTTATTAATAATTCTCTAGATAAGTTGTAGTCAGTTCTTTAGATTGTTTAGCTATACAATTTACTATTATATTTGCTATTTTAAACATCAAAATTAATTTCAAGAATTTAACTATTATACATAAAGTGTACTTACAATCCCATTTATTTATGGATTCTATTATTCAATTAAAGTTTACATAAAAGATAAGAACTCTTATTTAAATTTAATAAAATTTACAACTATGTTAACATTAATAATAATTAGTTAAATCAATATCTTTATCAAGTATTTACCAAATTAATTGTTATATTGTTTAATAATTATATGTGGTTTATGTGTATCTTTTATTGATGTTAAATATGATTGGGGATTACTTAATCAATAATCATAAAATTGTAAATATAAAATTTAAAGCTAGGTCTTTTACGTTAAATATTAGGATATCATAAAAATTTTTATTATTTCTCTATGTTCTTTAATGTTATTGGTAGAATATTTTTATTTATTTAACTTTGTAATATCATTCAAAATAAAAATATACTACTCATATATTCTATTGTTGAATCCATTCGTTGTAAGAATTTATTTATTTTAATTTATAGTATTTTTATGGAATTTGATAACGATAGAAAAGGAACATGTAATTAATATTGGAGAATTCAAGGCTGTTGCTGATGTCGTTATTGAAGGTGATGATAGATTTATGGTAAATATAGATTATCATAATTAATATTAGAATGAACTAAAAGAGTTTTTTTTAAGGCTACAAAATCAAAATATTTTAAAAGGATCTTTTAGAAAAAAAGCCTGTTCCTTGAATTTAATGATTAAAAAATTAGAATAAAATATAGAACAAAATTAAATTTGAATGTCTTTTATTTCATTTTTATTTTTTATCCCAAAATCTTAGAGCTGTTAGTATATTTTCAAATAATCCTTAATCTTTTTTTCCAAATTTTGCTTTTAAAATTTTTGGTGACTATATTAATATTTAGATTTACATTATACCTGTACGCTTACTTATTTTTAATCAATTTATGAAAGTTGTTCTAATAATTTCTGCTTATCTTCTTCGTCATAAATTAATCTAATAATTTCATCTACCATCTTTGGATTAATTCTTAATTATATTCTTGCTAACACTATTAAGATTTAATTCACCATCGGGATTCCTGAATCTATAAACCTTGTATTACAAATTGAATTCTTACCGAATCCTTTTTGACACCAATGTTATACAGCCTTAGCTCCAATTTATACATCCTTAGTGGTTATTAAAAGTAGTAATCTCTAATGCAACCATTCAAAAAGTTCTTCATCATTCATAAATTCTAAATCTAATTAATGACTTTTATCTAAGTTAGGAAAATAGCTTCATTCAATTATCATCAATTACTTATTTAAAAACTATTGAATTTAATTTTACATATTTTATATTAATTAAAATATGAATTTAAAGAGATGTATAAATATTGGAATCGAAAAATTGCATAATTGAATCAATCATTATCAATTGTTAAATTCATCTTATTCTTTCAATGATTCTTGTGGAATAAGAGAATCTTATTTCAATTCTTCTTAATACTCTTCTGAATCTACTTAAATTTATTCACCCTCTTATAATCTTGAAGAAGAAGGTAGTTAATCATTTTCATTCTAATTTTTTACTATTTTATATTTAAATATTTTACTGTTATTTGATTTAATATAGTTTTAAAACCCATCATTATCAATAAAACTTTAAGATGATGAATTAATTTGAGAAGATGATTCCTCATCACTATTCTGTTATTTTATTTTTTTTCTGATTCCTTTATCTTAGTTTAAAAAAAAATCTTATTAATTTTTATCTAACTTAATGGAATTCTGATTATTCTTTTTTCTCTCATTTTTAATTTCATTTTTCTGGCATTATTGTTTTTCATTTCCTTTGATATAAACTTATTTGAGATCTTATGTAGATGGAATTGATTTAGTCGATAATTTCATTTTTGATTGTTAAGCATTTTCTTGATTGTGTTCCCTCAGCATCGGAATTAGACATAGAGAAGCTGAAAGAACACCAACTCCAAAAGCAATCAAAATCTTTATATCAATCACATTCTCTAACCAATTCATAAGCAATAAACTTTATTAAAAATAAAATTAGTTCAAACATTCAAAAATTATAATAGAATGCATAAATAATAATATCAAACAAAAATTTGATAATCAATTTAGAAAATTAATATAATTTCTCAACTTAATCTTAGCTTTTCTTTATTTTGAAGATTGAAATTAAATGTAAATCAATAACAGTAAATTAAGAATATTTATTATAAAATTCAGAAACAAAGAATTTTAATAAACAAGATTAGAAACAATATAAATATTATAAGTATGATAAAATATACTTTCAAATTGACATATTTTTATTTCAACTTACTTTAATTTCCAATGTTGGAAAAAAAGTTAAAAGAATTTCTTTAAGCAAACTTTAGTTTAAAGGTTTGGTCATAAAATAATCCATTCCATTTTCATAACATTTTTATTTAGTTTAAAGGTCACACAATCCTGTTGTAGCAATACAATAAACCTTTTTTATTTCTTCTGATTACATTTAAGTTTTTATTAATTTGATAGTCTGAAATCCATCCATAATAGGCATAGTAATATCTAAAAATATTAATAGATAATGTTGGTTATTGCAATATTGACATGGATTTTATTTTTTTAAATTAATTTAAGCAAGACTATCTTGACCATTAAATGCATGATCACATTTTACTCCATATTTTTGCATAATTAATCTTAAACATCTTATATTATAATATTCATCATCAACAATTAAAGCTCTCGAACAACATTCACTTTATAAACAATACTCTAACATATCTTTCTTTTATCTTGCTTAAAAAAATGGTAAAAAATGAATCTTATTTTTGTGAGACTCACTCATAACATCACTTTCAATTTCATCTTCAAAATGATGTACTACAGAAAATGATTTTGTTTCTTTTCTTCTCTTTTTGAATAATATCTTTTAAGAAGATAAATTCTAAGATATAACATGAGATTATTATCCTAATGGTCCTTCAATGTATGAATTTTATGATAGTAATTTAATAGATTATGTCCCTGAAGAAAATTCTAATAAAGCTTTTTAATTAGAAAAATAATTTTCTTAAATATCATTTGGTAATTCAAAATAAAATTAAGTTCCTATTAGTAATCTTTTTACTTTTATAGGAACTCCTCTATTTAATTACTTAACAATCATATTGGATATTACTAAACCCATACCAGAACCAACTGAATTCTCAGAAACCTTAATAAATTCATCTTTATCCAAAAGATAATTTAAATTATGTTCTTCTTCTTCACTTAAACCAATACCAGTATCTTCAATTGATAAAATAAATCGATCAGCATTATTATAAATATTAACTCTAATTTATCCTGATAAAGTAAATTTTACTGCATTTTATAATAATTAAAAATAAATTTATTCAAATCTTTCTTTATCTGTTATTAGATATCGATTTTTTAAATGATATTAAACTGATAATTCTATTCCTTTACTTTAAAGAGGTTCTTCAAATAATGTATTAATAAATTCAACTGTTTGAATAATTTACATCTCTTCTAATTTTAATTAAAATATTTTTAATCCTAAATGAGTAAAATCTCTGACATTATTAATAATTAGATTAAATTAAATACTATTAATTAAAATAGGATATATATAAGTAGTTTTAATCTATTCTGAAATTCCTTCATCTTCAGCAGCTAAATTGCTAAATGTCATTAATGAATTTAAACTAGTTCCAAGTTCATGTGATAATTATTTACACATATCGAAAAACAATTATTTTCTAACTCTACTTTATTTTCTTTAATATTTTTAAGGAACATCTAAAAATAAAAACTAAATAAGTGTTTCACTTTCACTATTTTTAACTTATTCAATTAATAAAACTGTATCTCTAAAATCAAATATATCATTATCTTCTATTGAAAAATAATAAATATTAGACAATTCTTCATAATAATCTGATAAAAAGTCTGATATTTTTATTTTATGTGTAATATCATTATATTTATATAATAATGATAATTTTAAAAATTCCTCTTGAATAATAACATCTCTTTTTTGGATATCATTTTCAAATTCTTTTTTAAAATAATCCTCCAACCTTATACTACATTCAAAAATGTCCATTTTAGTGTTAAATGTTAGTTTCTTGGTTGAAAATCTATCATATTAATTAGGAGGTGCTTTTGGACTTTTTACTGAAGGCAATTCAAATTAGAATGTTTAACCGAGTTTTTACTAATTAGTTGTAGTATTAAGTGTACTATTTGGTAAATGATATTAGGGCCTTCCACAATTTTACTCAAAAATTAAGGATAGATGTTTTGCATCTAAAACAACTAAAATGATATCAAGTGAAAAAATAAAGTAACTATCTGTTGTGACTGTAAGATAATTAAAAGTATTTATGCAAATTAAGAAAAAAGCATAGTAAGACATACTTCTTTATTATATGCATTGTTCTTTTGAAAAATGAAATTGAATTATTAGATGAACATTTAAGGAAATAGAAATGTTTTCTTATGTAGAACTCCAAACAGAGATTCCCTTAATTATATAGCCTACATGAAACAGCATCATTTTTGTAAAATTTGAAAATCTATGTTGAAATGAGGAAATCCCTTAAATTGTACTTCCGAGAATAAAACTAAGAAAATATATTACTAATAATGAGGAAGTTTCCTCTATCTCTTAATAATTGTGATACCCCAACTATAGAATATAATTTCAGCCAATACTACCAGGTCTTCAGAAAATCTCAATACTTCTCTATATTTCATTTATTAAATTAACTGGAGTTTGTTTTCTAATTTACTTTCATATAGTTATTACATAGACACTATATACATAAAAAGAAACAATATTTGATTTCAAATAAATTTTAAATAACATAAATCGTTTTACTCTCATCAAATTTATTATACTCACTCTATTTATCTTGTCTATAATTTTTTTTGAAACTAATTTTCAATTGAGTTTTCATCAGCAAAAAATGTAAATTGTGGAGAAACTAATTTCGAGGATTTTTGAGAAGGCATTGCTTAAAATGTCTAAAAGTTAGAGAAAAATGATCTTTTATCATCAGACTCTTTATCTTAATTTGGTTCTGAATCAGATGATTAACTTAAACTTATAAATTTTGAGGCAAAATCATTGCGAAATGTTAATTACCTTGTACTTTAACAATTATATTAGTTGCTAGAAGTATTGTTTCTTGCCTCAAATTATTATTTAGAATGAGTCAATTAAATCTCACTTTAAATTTCTTTGTCATTTGAAGATTTTTACCCTTGTTTACATATAGAACCCATTCCAATATGATCAAAAGTTAATAAATTTTTATTATTTATAATGATTTATAAACAATTCCAATTTACATATTATTAACTATAAAAGTATTAAATTTATCTATTTGTAAAAGTATATTAATGTAACAATTTTAAACAATTAAATAATAATTGAAAAATTATTTAGGTATCTCTTTTCAATTTGTTTTTTATCATTTTCAATCAAATTATGTAATCAACAAGTGAGTTATTTATACATAAATTTACAATCAAAATTCAATAAAAACATGATATTGAACATTAATTTTTGTAATATAGAAGAAAATAAAGACTTAAAACTTTCATTTTTGAAAGATTTAATTCTATTATGTTAAATAGTGTATTATAATTCTAAATTTATATATTTCTTTCTTAATATTTATCAATTAAATTATTCAAGCTTTCCAAAGTAGGAAATATAATTCTTTATGTTAATAAAAGATGTATTTTTTTGTTTAATGGATTACATGACTTCCAAAATTTCTTCCAACAATGCAATTCCAACCAAATTAATCAAATTTATCGAATTCATACTTTATATGATGAGCAATTTATTTTTCTGTTTTAAATTACTGCATTGCTGATTATGTGATTTCAGTAACTTTTTTGATAAAATCTTCATCCATATCTGTGGCTTTAATTTGCAGTTTTATTTATTCCATTTGAATAATTGTTAATTATATTTATTTTAATATTCAATGTAATTATAATAAAATCATTTTTATGGCTGCATGTATTGAAGTTAAGTAATAGCCATATGGGCCATAATTAATTTGATTGGTATTAATAAAATGTTCAATGAAATACAGATGAACTTATAAATCAAAAAGCTGTGATTTGATTATTATGTACATATATATTGAGATAAGATCAGCTGATTCAATCTGAAAATCGTATTCGCAACCATATGTATTATAGAATTGCTTAATCTATTTAATAACCTTCTCAAGACAATAGATTAATGCTTTAAGTTTTTATTAAGGAGATTATTTTTCTTTAATTTAGGATAACAGCTTGAAGCATTTTTAATAAGGAATTCCTTCTCTATAATTAATTTCACAATTTGAATATTTTTTTAGTAAATATGAATGTGTAGATTTATTAAGTCTATATTTTACATTAATATCATAAAAGTCGATCTCATGATTATAACAGTTTTCTATTGCAGTTTTTAACATATCAACATCTTTTCTAAGCCACTCCATTATCATATCATATATTATCTAATAGATAATATCCTTATGAAAAAGCATAGAATAAATAGCAGTTAGCATATTATCTCGATTAAATAAATCTGTAACAGGTCCTGTTGACATTTGTGTTTTTTCATATTAATAATAGTTTTAAATACACTATTAAAACACTCTTGAAAACTCTTTTAAGTCTGTAACAGCACTATCTAATTACTTAGAACAACGATCCATATTATATTATCTTTTAAATGAATCAATAAAAAATTGTAGTATAACATAAAGTTAATGATCCTAATTACTGATTTGTTGCTTTAACAATTTAATTATATCCACATAATATATTAGTTGAGACATTAATAACCTGTCTTCTTTGTCAAAACTCTCACTTATTTTTTTCTTTTCAATTACTTATAATGACACAGATGCTTCTTATCTATTTATTATGGTATTAGTCTAAACTTCTAGTTATTATATTGTTAAATCCGTATTATAAATAAGTTGCTTTATAGAGTTGTCTGAACTCTATTTAATTGATTAATTTAGATTATTAGAATAACTTTGACTTTTTCGGGAATTTTTTAGAAACTAACCTAAAATAATAATTCAGATTTCTTACTCTTATACTATTAATGAGCTGATTAAAATTATATAATATATCCTTCTATAGGCTGTGATTTTAATCCACTATAAACTTATGATAAAAAATATTTTGCCCATTTACTCCGATCTTTTATTGATTCACAATCTCTGTATAGTTGTTTTTTCCAATCAACACTCTATCAGATTATATTTCTTGTTACTGCAAATTCATTGTCATTCGATTAGCAGGCTACACAGTCAAATTTTATAGGTGAAGAATGTTGAGTTCCCATTAGAATAAAATAAAATAATAATCAGTCTTTTATTTTTATTGTAGATATTATCATACTTATCAATCATTAATCATTCATTTAAGTATTGATTGAATATTCTTTTTCTGATAAAATACTTAAATATGAATATAGTTTCTTTTAAATTTTATAAAAATAGAAAACTTAAATCAAATACATAATCATAAATCTTCTTATATAATGAATATAATTTGCAACTAACGATATTTTTATTGTAGTAATTATTTCTAATTTTTATGTCTTATATCTCTATTTACTCTTCATTAGTTAATTTTTTCTCAATTTTTTATAATTTATTTATATTAAATCTTTTATGATGATATTTTAGAAATTCATCTAAAAGATTATGGAGTTGAGAAGGATGATTATAAATAAGTAACATTTAAAAATTTAAATCTAAGCAATAATTCAATTATGTATATTTGGTTGATGATTTTGAAAAGATCTCAAAATTATAAATAGACTTAGATCTTTGTTTATATTTCTATGAGTCTATGGTATTGATAATAAAAATTTACAATTTGTCAAGTTAGTAATTGAGAATGGATTTAATTTTTTTTTACTTTAAATGAATAAAAAGATAAAAGATAACTCATCAATTTATTAATAAATAAGAATTAACAATATTTTTATTACAATATTACAATCTTTATTTTATATGCATAAAATAGAATCAAAGTCTAAATTAAGACAACAATAAAATTTGATTTTTGTTTCAAAAATGCAATTTGCACAAGATCTCTATTAAATTTTACATAAAAGATAATTTTATTCTAGGTGCCAAACAATTTTAAAAGTGGATGATGTATAATTTAATATTGATATATATCAGTGGCCATTTAATTAAAGGAATGGGATTTGAAATTAGATTTATTTAATTATACTTGATGTCATTGTATTTCTCAGATATCAATATATATCTATTTTTAGAGGATGTTTAAATAATTAGATAAATTGAGTGTTAATTATAATTGATTAAAACTAACAGCTTTTTATAGTATATCTGATTTAAAAAAAATATGAGAACAAAGGATTTATGCAGTCATTATTGATCAAGCTACGAAAAATAAGAACTTTATATGATTATTAATATAATAGTAAATCAAGATGGTGGTTTTTTTAGTTCTTTTCTATTTGACATTTATGAAGATCTTCTTTATGCTTACTCTAAAAGATTTAGCATTTATAATCCTGTTTCTTCTTCCTACTATCTGTCTTTAGAACCAATTCCTAAATCTATTAATATTATTCTTACTTCTTTATTATTGTAAAGGTCTTAAAGGCTTTCTTTCTTATTTATCTAAAGTATCTCTCATTATTGATTAAAGCTCTTCATATTAACTTTTCAATTTATTATATTTCTTTTCAGCAGCTTCATCTAATTCTTTGTATTAAAGTTCTAAACTTTAAGCTACTTCAATTTATCTTTAATATAATTAATTCATGTCATCATGATATTAATTTCTCAGTTCTTATTCTTTTTACTCTATTTCCTCTATTAACTTTTATTCTTTTTAAGCTAAATTAAATTTCATCTAATCCATTTCTTATTACAATTGTTGATATTTTTATTTTTCTTAAAAGATTTCTATTTATAATTGTTCTACTCTAATTTATTTCTCTTTTTTTAAAGCCTCATTGTCTAAATCAAATTACTTTTTCTATTCCTATAATCTTTTTCTTAAAATTTCACAATTACTTCTTTCAATATCTAATTAATCACTTATTTTTTGTAATTTCTAATCGTATTATGTTTTTTATAATCTTAACGATTATTCATTTTCTTATTATTATTATTATAATTAATAAGTAAAAGTCTCAGTTAATTATTTAATTTCCTTATGCTTTTGTTCTTCAAATAATTATAATGATTGATCTTTATCCATTAATGTTCTATTTTTCCATTATTCTAATTCTTAACATCTTAATTATTCCATCTTTTTAATTTCTTTTACGTTTCTTTCCAATAATTAAGATTTTTCTCTCTAAAACTCACTTATTTACTATTATAATTCTCTTTGTTATTTACTCTTTAGATTACTGATTTCTTCTATATTTTAGATTTTAATATTTTATATTTCATCTTACAAACCTTAGATTTCATCTTTCAACAATTTTACACATTTTTCTTTTTCCATCTCTGCTGCATGAGATTAGTAAACTAGATCTTCTTTTAATATCTTTATCTCCAATTCATATTATTGTTTAAATCTAATAATATTTATAAAAACTACCTTTCTTTCTCTTGATTCATTTTATACTCTATTTCTTTTTATTTCACATTAAGAATTTGTTATATCTTTTATTCATCTTTTATTGTTGTTGATTTTGGCATCATATTTTCTTAATCTTTAAGTGTTCTTGACAGACCCAAAGCAATTTTATCTTCAAATCGACTAATCATTAAATTTAACAGTTAAAAAAATTAATATTCATAAACTAAATAAAAATAATACTCTATATATTTATTCAACTATTTGATAAAGGCAATTAAAATGACTCAAACAAACAAATTAATAAAGATATTAAATTTATAATACTTTTTAGTTTTTCATATTTTTCATTGATATTTTTATGGTTGATATGGTCTTCTATTTTCGAATTTATTCGAAAAGTTTGTTTAGTTAATAGTCTAATAAATTGATCTTTCTATATTTTAATGAATTTATCCTCCTAATTCTTCTAATTATAATTTTAATCTATCAATATGCTCTTCCATTTATCTTCTAGTCTAAATACATTTATAATAATAGAATTACTTCTTCTGATTAATTTAATTTTCTTGATAAATCATCCTTTTCTTTTTCTAATGCTCTTTTCTCTTAACCGTTATTTTCATGAATTTCATTAATTTATTGAGTAAAATATTCATTATTTTTTTTCAATTTATTTTATGATTCTATTATTTCAGCTTGTAATTATTTTATTATCTAATCTTTTGCTTATAATTCATTTCTTAGTTTTTCTCTCACTTAATTTGTTGATTTAACTTAAAAATCAAGTTCACTAACATCTTATTTAAGTCTTGTTTAGTTTTAATCAAATTCCATTTATTTTTATTTTAATAATCTATCTTTTTCAGCTAACTATTATAAAGTATTATCATAATCTTTAGCTAATTTACTTCTTCCATCTTCAGAAGCTTTTAATTTTTATTCTATATTTCTTAGATGTCCCAAATATTTTCTCATTTCTTCATCCTAAACTCTTACAATAGTTTCTCTTATATTTTCTTCAGCTTCCATTTTTATTGTCATATTTTCATTCATTAAATTTGTTATATCTTAATTCAAATCTTATATTTGAGTCTTAAAACTTCTAATCTAAGCTTCAGCATCTTCTTTTTAAATTTTATGAGTTTAAGTCATATCAGATACTTTTTATTCATGTGATTTCATTATCCTTTCAAATTCAATTCTAAATTTTTCATCATTTTATTATAATTATCTTGGTAAATTTTAAACATATACCTATTTAATTACTTATTTCTATCTTCAAATTCTCTTAGTCTTTAATTGTATTACTCTTATCCTCTTATAAATTCATTTCTCATGACAGCATTCTCTTATTCTAGAGAATCATTTCTCATCATGACATCTTATAATTTATATCTAATTATATTTAATTATATACTCTATTTCTTATATATAATTATCCTTTTATTAGATTTCATTTCTATAACCTATTATTTTATTTTCAAATTCTATTCTCATTTATTTTTCAGACTCTAAATTATTCTCTAATTATTATCTGACATTTTTCATGTTTTTCCTTTCTTCATCTAATCTAAATTCAAGATCTGACAATATTTATCCATTGCTTTGCATATCATTTAGATGATTATCATATTTTTAATGATAATCTCTTAAATAATCATCTTAGGGCATCTGTTAAGCATATGGATTTCCATATCTGCTATTCATAGTTTAAGATTGATTAGGTTAGCCTTAATAGCCAAAAGGCTTTTAGGGTTAGTAGTACTTTTAGGACATTCCTGCTTATGAATTATAATACATATTTTAAAATATCTAACTGAATAATTAAACATTTTTCTAATCATTATATATACAATAAATTTTTTAGTTATGAATTAAAGAACTTTAGAGGAAAGAATAATTGATTAATATGAAATGTCATCACCATTTGTTGATGATAATCTCAATAAATCAAATAGATAACCATTACTGCTGATCAATGAAAATTCTAACTCTTATTTATCTAACAATTCCTTAATTAAATCTCCTGCTTTTAATGGTACTTTTAATTCAGGTTCAATTGATTATGGTTATGCATTATTGAATTAATTTGATGAAGGTGAAGAAATAGCAGGTAATAGAAATGGTTTTATTGTTCAATATTCTGATTCCACTAATATTTTTCATATGTGTAATATAATATATTAAGAATAGTTTATTAAAGACTTCCAGTTTTTCTTCCAAATTCTATTGTTATGTTGATTTGGAAGGCTATAATCGCAGGAATTATCCTTCTATACTTTTTTGTTGTACCAATTACTGTTTCATATAGTAGCGGTGTTTGGGTATTTTATAAAATAATTTAAGATATTTGCAAACAAAACTAAGATGATAATAGATGGTCTATGTTTCATTTTCTTGGTACTTGATATAATTTTAGAATTTTTGACAGCTTTTTATGAACATGGAAATTTAATTACAGATAAAACAAGAATTGCTTATAAATATTTGAGTCTAAATTTTATACTTGATTTAGTTGCAACTTTAGCTTTTGGTGTTTAGTCATTTATTAATGATGATTCAATAAATTTAATTCTATTATTATTTTTTTTAAAATACCCATCCCTTATAAAAATAGATTATTTATTTGAAGAAGCCACATTATTGCATAGAACACTGAGAACTATCTATAATTTAGGAAAGATTATTGTATTGTTATAATTTTGCTTTTTGATTTTTTCTTGTATTTTTTTTGTCATAGGATATGCTTGTGTTTAAGCAGGACATAATTCTTGGTTATTAAACGACGGCAATTTTGGAGTTATATTAGACCTTAATCCTGGATTTTAGTTTTTCTTTTCATATTATTTTGGTTTAGGAACAATGACAACAACTATGGGATATGGTGATATAACTCCATTAAATGTATTTGAATGCCTTTGGTGTTTAGGTGGAATATTTTTTGCTGTTTTCATATTTTAAGTTAATGTTAATTCTCTATTTAAAATAATGGAGGAATTCAATGTTCATCCTATTAAAATATTCAAAAAAAGAATAGCTGTAAATAAATTTATGAGTTCAAAATAAGTTCCATAAATAGTTTAAGAAAGAGTTAGAAGATATTTAAATGAACATTGGTATGAAGAAGGAACAAGGGATTTATTGTTAGAACAAGAAGTTTTCACTGAATTAGCTCCTGAAATTAAAGAAGAATTATTTTATAATTCATATGGAAAAATGTTTAATTTAATTCCATTTATGTCAAAGACATTTTCAACAGAATTTTTGAGATCACTCTCTATTAAAATTGAAGAAATAAGTTATGCTTAAAATGAAATTATTTTTTTGGATAATGTTGATTATCTTTTAGATGATTATTCTATATATTTTATAGATTATGGATAAATTCTTATTTTTGCTAACACAGGAGAATAGAGACCATTTTGGATTAAATAATTAGGATAGCAAGAATATTTTGGTGAATGGTCATTCTTGACAGGTAGACCAAGATTGGCATCTGCATCTTCTATTTCTTATAGCAGATTATATAAATTAAAGAGAGAAGTCTTTATGGATATTCTTGGATCCTTTTAGGATGATTTTGAAAAATATTGGATGATTCGAGATAAATTAGTTTATTCAAATGGATTTAAAATAATCAATAGTTTATGTTGGAATTGTGAATAGGATTCTCATTATGCATCAAAATGTCCTGTGACTCATTATTATCCATAAATGAATAAGGTATAAATTAGATATTTGAATAATAGTTGCTTAAATATAATATAGAAGATGAACAATAACGTAATTAATATTATAGGAAAAAGAAATAAAGATGGCATACTTTGAAATAACAAATTTCATAGTCTTAATAAATAGAAAGTTAAATTTAAAAATCATAAAATTAAGAGATATAAGTAGAACAAATAAGGAATCAGACATAATAATAATAATAGTAAGCATAACCATAAAAAAATATAAAACAATTTGATAAACCATACTAATTTAAACACTATTTTCCTCAATACAATTACCACAAAATTTAAGCCTTTAAGAATGAGAAAGCAATTAAGAAAATAACAAATATAAGAATATCAGCTATGTATATTCCTAACACAGCATATCGTTAAACTAAACAATCTGCAATTTTCGTATGGCCAAAATAGAGTTGATATATAATAAAATTTAATTATGATAAAATCCTTTGGTTATTTATTATGTGGAGCTGTTATGATTCCTTCAATTACGTATGTCAAACTTTAAAACTAGATTGGCAGGCTCTACTGTATACCTTTATCCTGAATTTCGAACAAATCCAACATAGTTTTGGCTTGCATTTTAAAGAGTTTATAGAGTTGTAAAAGCTGGTACTAATATGGCTTTAGCATATTTAACAAAGCCAGATTAAGCAATCGATGATAAGCATTATTATGGTGCTCTTTAGCTTAGATCTGCTTTCTAGTAAAATAAAGGCTTATATATCAAATTTGGTTAGATTTTAGGATCAGTAATTCATTATAATATTTTTAAGCTTGATATAATCATACCAGAGCCATATAGAGCAACATTTGAAGTTATGTGCACTTAGAATATTGAAACACCCTATGAAGATATTGAAAAATAAATATAGCATTCAACAGGAAAAAAAGTTGAAGAATTATTTGAATCTTTCAATAAAAAACCTATTTCATCAGCATCTATAGCTTAAGTCCATTAAGCCTTTTTAAAAGATGGTAGAGAAGTTGCTGTTAAAATTTAACATCCATGGTTAAAAGAATAAATAGATGGTGATGTGAAATTAATTAGTTTATTTACAGATGTGGCAGAATTTATATTTAAAGGATTTAAATATAAATGGCTGGCTGAAGAATTATAAGTTAATTTACCAAAAGAACTTGATTTTCATGGAGAAATCAATAATGCTAAAAAAATTAAAGAAATTCTTAAACCTTTTCCAGATATTTATATTCCTAAAGTTTATGAAGAACATTGCAATGATAGAATTATTGTAATGGAATTTATACATGGTACTCCTCTCTCTGATATATTAAGAGAAAAAGAAAAACATGCTTTCGATTATCCAAAAATTGCACATACCATTTCAATGGCATTTGCTCATTAGATATTTAAACATGGATATGTTCATTCAGATCCGCATAAAGGAAATATTATGGTTAGAAAATTTAATGGAAAATAATAAGTAGTTTTGTTAGATCATGGACTTTACACAACTTTAACAGAAAAAACAAGACTTAGCTATTCATTATTATGGCAAGGAATTTTAGAAATGAATTTAGATTATATTAAATAGGCTACTACTGATTTAGGAGCTGCTTAAAATTATAAATTATTTGCTTCTATGGTCACTAGTAAAAGATTTTCGGATTTAATGAATACATCTATGAATATGTAAGATAGATTAAAAAGACCCAAAGATTAAGATGAAATTGCTATCTTGGTTTAAAAAGCTGCTAAAAAACATAAACAAATCACAATTATTTTAAATCAAATTGATAGGTAAATGTTTTATTTTTAATTTAGAAAACTTTTGATGTTATTCAAAATCAATGATTTTCTTAAAAATATTGAATTTAGATTAGGAAATCCAATTGATAGCTGTTAAATTACATACAAATATGTATCCTTAGTGAATTATGAAGATAAAATTAAAAAGCAAAATATACTTAAAAGATTGATATATAAAATTAGACTATTATTGCATAAAGCCAAATTTGAAATTTTAAGTATTGTAATGAGTATTATTATGTGAATTTTTATATGAGATATTAAGTATAATTTTATTAAATTTAATTATGAATATTGAGTGGAAATTATAAAATATAGTAAAAGCTTTGGGTAAGACTTAATTCTAATAAATTAGGGTTCTTTTGTTTATTTACTATGCCTCCATATGCATTTTATTGGAAATACAGTTCAATGAGTATTAATAAATTTATTATTTTAGAATACTTTGAAAAAGAAATTTATAATGACTTCAATAGAGTACATAGCAAAGGGAAATCTTTAGCTGATATTCCAAAAAAAGAAAAAATATGATTTCTATTTCTTTTTTAATAAAGTTCTAAATTTTTTTCAATTTTTCAATTCTCTTATAATAAGTAAATTTTCTATGAATTCTAAGATGAATATAGTATTTTAACAGCAATCCAATAAATTTCTACTTATAACAGAATTTCTAATATATTTTATCAAATTTAATAATTAATCAACAAATATGGATGAAGCATAGAAAAGTTATCTGAATTTATTGAAAAAAACATTTGAAAAGAAACAAGAGTTTATCAGATACGATGTTGTGTTATTTTAATAATTCCAAAATAAATTAACTGTTCATAGTGCAGCAATTTCTCGAAATTGTGAATTGCTTGTATGTGGTTGTAGCAAGGTGTGGTGTATCCTATAAATTTTAATAATAGAGCATTGTAATCTTGTATGACCTTATTTCTAAATAAGTAGTTAAGGCTTCAAATAAAAAGTAACTTTAATTCAGAAAACATCAAATAGTAACTGTTGCATTTTCGAATTGTTATGATTATGTTCTTGCAGGTATCAATATCTAAAATTTAGGCAATACAATGGGAGATTTGCTTATATATGAAATTACAATCGACATTTAAAATTAGAAATTTCAATTAGATCTTATAAGATTTATATCATAATATCATGAAAAAGCATTATAAATTATTTTTCACTCAAGCATAGATCATTTATTAACAATAAGTAGTGATAAACTTAGAGTTACTATGATAAGTGAGTTCATCTAGTATGAAAACATTGATTAATCTCCAAATTAAATCTAACAGAATCTAGGAGGAGCAACAACTTCTAAGTTGTCGTATTACAATAATCATTACTATTTATATATAGGATTAAGAAACAATAAAATAGTTCAAATAAGATCATGTAATTTATAAACTTAATTAACTTAGCCCAACTGTATTCTAAACCAAAAAATGAAACATTTGTTTATTCAATAAATAGCTCTAGTTCTGTTATTAGTAAAATTGAAGTTTCAAATGATCAAACACTTCTTGCAATTGCGTACTAAAGTGCTTAATAAGAATCAGGAAATTTATAGATTGTTTATTTAAAAAAAGGAAAATAAATTTATTCTTAAAATGGCATTACAAAATTAAAAATTAGTTAACTTTTATTTTTTAATTCTAATTCTCATCTATGTATTAGTTCTTGGGATGGAACCTTTTAAATTTTAGATATCAAAAGTAAAGAAATATTAAAAACTTATTCTCATATAATGCATGAATAAGGAGTGATAACCTTCTATCCTTTATCAGAAGCATCAGAATTTCCAAATCTTATATCAATTGGACAAGATCATTAAATTAAAAAATATTATTTCGGAAAAATTAAAGAATAACTATTTGAATATATTCCATTCATATTTTGGGTTGAATAAAGAATCAGATAAGAATTATAATTTTAGAGTGAGTTACATAATTATTAAAAATTACTTTATATAGAAAGTATGGGAGTAGATAGTGTTAAAATGAGAGAGCTAAATTAAAGTATTTTTGGATTTGAAAAATTTAATCCTTTGATTAAAAGGATTATTGACTATACTGAATACAAAGAAAGAGCTCATATATTATATAAAAGGTATGAATTGGAAATATAACAATCAATTATTTCTTCAATATAAAGATCTAATAAATTACCTCCATTAGATTTACAATAAAAGAATTCATAAAACGATGCTCCTCAAAATCTAATTCAAAGTGGAATCTTAGTAAATCCTAATTAATATTAAGAACCATTAAAATTATTTTAAGAATACTTTACATTTACTTTTAAAAGAATTAGTGATACTATTATATTTGAAAGAATAAAATTAATGGTATTGCAAAAATGTGATTTTATTTTTGATGATAAATATCCATTCAAATAGCTATTATTCTCTAATCTAAAAAGAATGAAAAATTTGAAATATCTGGATTTATCGTATAATTCATTGAATCTTGAAGATGTATTGTAAATCTTAGATCAATTAAAAAATGTAACTTTATTAGATTTCTTAAGTCTGGCCCATAATAATTTGGGGGATAGCTAAACTATTAAATTTAACAATTCTGATGCTGTTATGAGATTATTAGATGAAGTTGAAGCAATTTCTTTAAGATCAAATAATTTATCAGATATAGATGGAGAAGCAATTTTGAATTAAATTAAACATGTAAACATAATTATTAAAAATATAGTTTAAAAAATTGAAAATATTAGATATATCTGGTAATCTATCTTTTAAAGATAGAACTTTATAAGCATTATAAAGAATTACAATTTTACAAAATAAAATAGAATTTTCATCATAAAGAAATGACTTTCTAAACTTTTTGAATAATATTAAAGTATTATAAGAAAAGGAATAACAAGAAGAATTAGAAGATTAAGCGAAATCTTAGGATAAATAAAGTAACATAAATGAAGATTAAAAACTAATTGAAAATCTACCTGAATAACAACCCTCTTAAACTTTAGATAGATCAGCATCTATATCTAGTTCTGGTAATTATATGTCTCTACAATTATTATGTATATAATTTTAGAAAGAAGTTTGTGAATAAGCAATGAAAACAGCTACTGATTTTTTGGTTTAAAGAAAAATAACTAATTTATATATTTATGTTGTTGACAATAAGGAAGATGATGTTTGGGAAACATCAATATCAATATTTTATACAAGAGATTTAAAAAAGTGGAATGATTATATTTTTGGTTGCATAGGAGGATTTTTTACAGTAATGTTTTCATGTTTAGTTGGAATTTATAAAAACATTAGGCAAGAGGGGTTTTATTGTATTAGAAGAATATTTTGTACAAACTATTTTTTGTGGAAATATCTAGCTTGTGGATTTTGTACTTTCTTAACTACAACTTTAGGAAGGTTTATAGTTAAACTTTTTGGTGTTGAATAATCATATTTTGAGTACAATCCAAAAATATATAAATTAGAATAAGAGTTAATAAGTATCAAATATATAGGATTTATATTATTTACAATATATTTTGTAAGTTACTATTTTGTAGTTGTCTTTTTACCGATTATATTTGTGAATGCCTGTTCTGGTTAATAATGGATTGGTCATTTGATTTATATAGCTTTTGCAGTATATTCTTTTCTTGTAGAAGGCTACCTTGGATTAAAAATCAGTAATCTTAGAGTTACCACAAATGAATATACTGATGGAAATACACTAGCAAGATATTTTTATATTATAAAGGATTTATTAATAAGTCAACTAACCAAATTTGAATTATATACTTGTATTTGTTTCATAGTGCTAGTAAATTCTTGTTAAATATCAGTTGCTCTAGCTTGGATAGGAGTAGGAATTATATGTTTTAATTTACTATTAGACTTAGCCTTAATTATAAGATACCTATTGGTTCCTTATGTGCATTAAAAAAAACTATCTTATATTGATATTTTTACACAATTTTCAACTCTTTATTAAATGAATATTGTCACAAATCTCCTTGAAAAATGGTCTGAATAAAATACTATTTATATTTTCTTTTTAAAATCGGAAGTACCATAAAAAGTTGTAGTTTCTATCATAAAAACTTTCTTTTAAGACACTCCACTACTTATTTTATAAGCTGTTTACTTAGCTATGAATTAAGACTAAATTAAAATTTAAATTTTCATAGTTTCTTTTATAACAGTAATAATTCATTTTATCTTTTCAATGATAAAGATGCTGTCAATTACTAGAGCTGCAAAAATCAATGAAGAGATTGTATTAACAGAAGTTTCAAAAGCTAAATTTTAGAGCAAAGAAATAAAAATAATTAAGGAATTAAAAAAATTTATAAGAAATCTAAAAAAAAGATTTTAGAAAATTATAGGTGAACATAATTAGAGAAATGAAAATTTAACCTTATCATTAGTAGATGCCGAAAAAGCGCTTCTAAATAGACCCCATACAATGTAGAATTTTGAATTATATAAAAAATAAAAGAGCTCGAAAATTCTTCCTGCTAGAAAAGGAATTACTTAAATAGGAAATAAGATATAAAGAATTAATTTTTCAAAATATTAAAAAATAAATTAAGAGGAGCTTTAGAAATAAATATCAGTAAAAGCATCACTGGATATATTTGGAGCTAAAGTTAAAAGCTGGAAGATTAACAATGAAATACCATTAGATATAACTGATACTTTATTAAATGATGTTCCTAGATAATTTTTTACAATTGATTTAGATTGGGAAGCAAGCTAAACATGGATAGGGAATATTCGAATATCTTCATTAAAATAAGAAATTTAAGGATTTATAATGGCCTATCAACATTTTCAAAATCAAATGGATTTAAACATTTTAGATTTAGGTTTCGGCTCTGGCTATGTTTCATTCGTTCTTTTAGCGTTAGCACTTAGAAGAAAAAGTGCGTCTCAAATTCAACTCCATTTAGTTGATCATCATCCTGATGCAATTAAATATTTTGAATAAAAATTAAATTCTGAATTCGCTCATTTAAAAACAAAATGTAAGATTCAATTTCATTTACATGATTGTTTTGATGGTTTAAACATATTTTAAAGTTAAAAATTTAACTTTATTCATGTTGGTTATGCAACTACTAAATGGAGAATCTAAAAAGATGTTATCCCATTACTTTCTGATGATGGTTTGATTTTTGGTTATGAAATTGTAAGCAGTTTAGAATAAAAGGCCTTTTCATGGAATTAAACCTAAAAGTAAATGGTATATACATAAAATTTTGAGTAATATGGAATAATGGAACCTCTTGCTATTTAATTAAAAGGAATAGATTAATCAATTTTAGAGAATCATATAAAATAAAAATTAGATATTTTAAAATATATAAAGTTGTATGATTAATGTGCATTATGTGATAAGTTACTTACAAAGGATGATAAATAATTTATTAATCATTATTGGGGAGAAGGATTATGCATGAATTGTGCAAACGATTAGCTAGAATAATAAGGTGAAGAAATTGATATTGCTAAAATTAATTATAGATGTAATTTAATTTTCTACACAGGTAGTAATTGCAAATTATCCTCTATAAAGCAAGTTTAAAGTTTATTAGAAAATTTAACTTATCCATTTGGTCATAAAGTTGGAACTATAAGAGAATATACTTAAGTGTGTGCTTCTTGTAATTCAAAAAGAGGATTCGGATTTTTATACACATGCTTAATTTGCAATTCTGTAAATTATTGTAATACATGTGGTTTATAATTAATGAGAGATAATCAGCTCAAGTATCATTCTTCATGCAATAATGATCATCCTTTATTGAGAATAGTTTTCCCATGGAAAGCTTAGAAAGGAAAAAAATGAAAATTATATATCTATTTATAAATTTTATCCAGTCTTTTGTTTTATGGTTTTTTAGAATTGCAATATTTAAAATCTTTTTTAACACAATGATGAACTTATTAAATTTCATATTATTAAATTAAATGGAAAATTTATTTTATCAAGTTCATCCTGACATTCCATTTTTCGATCTAAAAAAATACTAATAAACAAAATTAATAGCTTCCTCGAATAATAGGGTATACCTCTATAAGTTTTTGAATTAACAAATTGCTGTTAAAGAAATTATATTTCAATTCTTGTGTATTAATTTATATTATTTAGAGAAAATGAACATTTAGAAAAACTAAAAAAATAATATTAAATACAGAAAGAATATAGTGAAACGATAATCTAAATATATGGAATGGCTATGTAAAAATAAGAAAGATTTTCAGGAAAATATTCAACAAGTATAAATTTTAATTACAGTTAGTAATCTATATCTGTATGGAATATATGTAATATTGTTTATAAGATCATATTGAATTAATTAGAAAAGAATAGTTTCGAATAAATGAATTTTCTTTTATTAATTTATTGAAATCTGGCATTCAAACTCATGCATATTTATAATCGATTCATATGTGCCATGGAGATATAAAGCCATAAAATATTTTGATAAATGATAAAATAAATCCAACTCAATTTAAAACTTGTGACTTTGATAACTTGATTAAACTTAATCAATCTAAGTTACAGCCTTGCATTTTTTCAACCAAATTATATCATGCACCAGAAATATAATAAGCTATAAAAGAAGGAATGGAGTCATTTCATTATAATCCATACAAAGCACAAATATATAGTTTTGGTCTTTGTTTGATATAAATGCATCCTGAAGTAGATATTTGCAAAATTAATCATATTTCATTTATGCGAATAGAATAGGTTTATGGTCAATTAATTTCATAATTGATTATTAAAATGTTAGATCCAATAAATTATAATAGGCCAGACTTCTTTGAAGCATTATAATTTATAAATAAGAATTCAATCGCTAATATATCAAAGGACTTTTATACTATTTAAGGAAATGAAGTATTGAAAAGCTAAAATTCTTGTTTTCGAAATACTCCAGATATGTTTGATACCTTAAGAAGAGAATCGAAATATCCAAATTAATTATGTGATAGTGTTGATACAACTTCTGAATTCATAATTAAAGGTTTAGTAAATTAATCAAATGATGAAAATGATATTATAAATGATAGTTAATTAGAACCTTTAGTTGAAATTAGTAAGCAATTTAAATAAATTAGATAGCGTGAAGACTAAAAAAAGGTTTTGTTGTACAAATTAAATAACTAAAGTAATAATTATAGCTTTTTGCTTGATATTACTAATACTATCATTAATAATCTTTTTGTCAATGTATTAATTTTGATATTTTAAATTTTATAAAATATATAAGAGACAATTTTAATCTTTATTATCAAAGAGCATTATTTTTTTATGTACATACAGATTTAAATGTAGCTAAAAACAATTTTTTTAGTTTAAATGGGTAACCCTTGATCCAAAACCCCTTTTTATATTTTTATTTGCATTTATAAACTTTCAATTAGAAAAAGAGATGTAACTTTATTAAATAATTATTTTTCATTTTTAATATGGAGCCTTTCTTAGAAGCTAAATCAGTGGAGGTAGGAATCAAAGAATATGATGGAGTAATCTGGGATTATTAATACTACCCTCCAAATCGAAAATGAACAAAATATTAAGTTACCATAAATAATGATAGAATCATAGAAAGTAGGTAGAATTTGATAAAAGGTTTAATTTGCATAAATAAGTCACTTATAATGGTTAATATAATATGCAAGTTATGAAGATCGGTACCTGGTATAGTATATATTGTATGGAAAGAGAGAAGGAATATATATAGATGTGGAATCAATAAGAATTGATATTGCATTCTTAAATAAAAATTTCATTACGCTACGCCAATGTATAAAGTGCTTTAAAATTTGGAATGCCCCATTCAAGGTCGATTTGTTTCTTCATCTTTCTGAATGTAAAAAAATAATAGAAATAGGGGCTATTATACCTAACCAAACCGTCAAATTGATCCAAGTTTTACTCAGTTTTCTGAAAAAAATGTTTTTTTTAAAGTTTAGATATCCATTATGATTAAAAGGCATAAGATCCAATTGAATAGAAAAAACCTATTAATCTAAATAATGACGAAATTGAAATGAAACTAAAGTGCATTTCCAAGATAGGGAGCATTTCTGAAGGAACTATCAAATAATACAAAGAACCTATAAGAAAATTTTATTAATGGTTATGGAAAGAAGGTAAGCACAAACCAAGCGCTTCTAATATCATATTATATATACAAACTTAGAATCCAACATTACACGATCTCAAAGGAATAGCCAGAATTAAGAAAACTCAAAAAATATTTCTCAAAGAAGAGCAAAAGAACTTGATCAAAGAAACGAAGTTTTTTTATAAGAAGGACAAATACGATAACCCCATTAAAGTTGGGATCTTTTTATTATTTAAAAGGTATTGATGCATATTATAAAAAGTTTATAAGTGATTTAATTTATTATAATATGGAAATATTGGCATTTCGACTTTACATACTGTATCATTTAGGCGCTCGTGTTTCAGAATTGGAATAAATTACATTTTAAATGATTTGCGATGGAACAGTCATTTATATACCAAAAAAATAAATAAAAAAAGGTTCGAGTGCAGAAAGGATTCTTGAAATGCGCAAGAGGTCATAAATGCAACAACTTAATTCATGTTAAAAAATTAAATTCTGCTAACATAAAAGCTTAATATAGGAGCGTTAAAGCAAAATATCACTTACAATTCGATGGAAAAGCAATTGAAGGAAGCAAAACTATTTTTAATTTAAGATTCATACGAAAAATCTGATGCATATAAACAGTTTCTTTCTTTATTTAGTTATCATGACCTGTAACACTCAAAATTGAGTCATTTATATGATCAAGGTGTTTGTAAAGCATTCGGACTAAAAACGCACAAAAGCGTATTTGAAAAGTTTGGCAAAAAAATGAATTTAAATGGTTAGGTTATTCATGCAGTTTGCTCAAATGCCCAATTATAATTTTAATGACAGTTATGTTAATTTGAAGATTATTGAGCATTTTAGTAAAAATTTTATTAAAAATTATTAAATTTAAATATAATATTATAATATTTTTAAGAAAGCATTTGAAATTTCGAAGAGGGATTGTATATCATTAAACATATGCATTCTCTATTCAGGAGTCATTCATATTGGATAATTAGAAATCCAAGCCGATAACTTTATTTCGTTATTAGTTTAACCTAGAACCTCTTTAAATATGATTTGAAAAATTAATTGTATTTCAACTAAGAGGATTCAAATAATGTGAATAATTTAAAAATAATAATAGCTTTCNATTTTCATGACCATCTAATTTGGCTTTTTATTATCCTGTTTTAACATCCCATAATCTGATTGACTAAACACCACTACCAGATGCTAAAGTAAATCCATCTGGTGAGAAGCATACTGATTATACATAATTTTCATGACCATCTAATTTGGCTTTTTATTATCCTGTTTTAACATCCCATAATCTGATTGACTAAACACCACTACCAGATGCTAAAGTAAATCCATCTGGTGAGAAGCATACTGATTATACATAATTTTCATGACCATCTAATTTGGCTTTTTATTATCCTGTTTTAACATCCCATAATCTGATTGACTAAACACCACTACCAGATGCTAAAGTAAATCCATCTGGTGAGAAGCATACTGATTATACATAATTTTCATGACCATCTAATTTGGCTTTTTATTATCCTGTTTTAACATCCCATAATCTGATTGACTAAACACCACTACCAGATGCTAAAGTAAATCCATCTGGTGAGAAGCATACTGATTATACATAATTTTCATGACCATCTAATTTGGCTTTTTATTATCCTGTTTTAACATCCCATAATCTGATTGACTAAACACCACTACCAGATGCTAAAGTAAATCCATCTGGTGAGAAGCATACTGATTATACATAATTTTCATGACCATCTAATTTGGCTTTTTATTATCCTGTTTTAACATCCCATAATCTGATTGACTAAACACCACTACCAGATGCTAAAGTAAATCCATCTGGTGAGAAGCATACTGATTATACATAATTTTCATGACCATCTAATTTGGCTTTTTATTATCCTGTTTTAACATCCCATAATCTGATTGACTAAACACCACTACCAGATGCTAAAGTAAATCCATCTGGTGAGAAGCATACTGATTATACATAATTTTTATGACCATCTAATTTGGCTTTTTATTATCCTGTTTTAACATCCCATAATCTGATTGAGTTATCATAACTACTGGATACTATATCACATAGTATAATGAATTCATACAATTGCTCTGGCCATCTAATTTTTTTTTTATCATTTCTATCCTGTTGAGTTCTTTTTATTCTGATAATAATTTTACAAAATATTATTAAGTTGAAAATTTCTTAGATTTAGAAGAAATGATGAGAAAGTAGTAACAAGATTTGGCTTCGCATAAACCCAATCCCAACATAAAGGATTATAGAAATTCATAGAAATTGTTTGTGTGTGTGTGTTAATTTTTCAAACAATTCTAATTAAGGTTATTTTGTGAATAATTAGAAATATTAATTGAGATTAAATAATTTCAAAAGTAATTAGTTTGACTAATAAAAGGAAACTAATAAAACCAATAAATCATTTTAAGATAATGAATGAACAGATGAATGAGATAAATTTTAATATTTGTGTATTTTCATAATTTAGTGTATTCTATATTCTTAAAGATTTTTGCTTTCCACTAGTTTAAAACATGTAGAATTTTTAGAATTTTACCTCTATTACAAAGTTAATCCAATTTTCTACAACATTTTGTTTTTGTTTAACTTTAAAGATATTTTCACCTCATAATATAAAACTTAAAATAGAGTAATAGAAATTCATTATTTTTTTTAAATATTATGAATTGCTTATATCATAATCAATAAATTTCAACCATATGTGTATCTCCGCATAAATGTAAATGTTAAAGGAAACTATGTGCTAAATGCCTTTTTGATCATGAAGTGGATGTAAAATTGGCTGTTCCAATAGAAATATTTTAAGAAAAAGCTATTAAGATACTAAAAGAATTTCAGCTGTAACATACCACCCAATCAACCAAACAGAAGATGACAATAAAATCAATTTTCTCCCAAACTGAAATCATGTTAAAAAAAATATGGGAAGAACTATCATAATCTATCCAATAAATTTATGATTGGCTTGAAAAGGAAAATAACACTTATCTTGAGCTTTTAAATGAAAATCTAAACGCAGCAGATTTTTCATTTACTGACTTAGAGAAATTAGTTAAAATTGTAGAAGGGACAACATTAAAGGATTGGAATATTGAAAAAAATTAACATTTAATAATGTTAGATGCTATTTAAAAAGGTTGGTAAAAAATTATGAATACTTTTGTATAAAAGTCAAATTAGGTTTAAAAAGAAATTAAGTGTATTATTAATAAGAATTATAAAAAATATTTTAGAACTCCGCCATTTTACGAATCTAAGGAAGATCTTCTAGAAGTCTTCGATTAGGTGAAAGATGTAGATGATTCCCTATTTGATGTGATTATTGAGAAATTAAAGAAAGAAAAGATCTGTGATTGTATTGCTTATCTAACAACACCAAATAATAGAATCAGTTACCAATTTTTTCCAGATATTCTTATAAACATTCATGAGCATGATTTCAATATCAGAGATTATTTTGAAGAAAGTTAATTTAAAATGAGTATCAAGATAATGAAGAAAATATCTGGAAATGAAAAGATCATTAAATTATTAAAGTTCCTTATTCATCTAACTGCTATAGATAAACAATTCATTCAATGTGGATCTAACTCCCTATCGTTACTTGTACAGATGAAGGTTGATCTTACCAACCGAAGCTTCGAAGATGTTAGGATTAAGAATACTAATTTAATTGGGGCAAATTTTGTTAGATGTAATTTTAGTGGATCTGAATTTGAGAATGTAGACATGAGTGGAGCGAATCTTAATGGAGCTTTGTTATTAAATTGTAAATGGAGGAACATTAAAATACATGAGTTGAATAAATTATATGGTCATTCCCTTGAAG